ATTTTATCAAGATATCTTTATTTGATAATGAAATATGTGCATTTAAGTGATTTTTTTGGAGTGGACCAATCCGGAAAAAAATTTGGTAGAATGATTTATATGTATATATATATAAAATATATTCAAGTCAATTTTATCCTTATAATTTAAGAATTTAATGAAATATATGGGTTTAAGTGATTTTCGGAAGTGGACTTTATATGGGAGCTATGACCAATTATAAGCCTATCCGGAAAAAATTTCGTAGAGTGACTTATATAAAGACAAAACATATTTGTGTCCAATTTTATCAAGATTGCTTTATTCGACAATGAAATATGTGCTTTTAAGTGATTTTCGGAAGTGGGCCTTATATGAGAGCTATGACCAATAATGGACTGATCCGTAAAAAAATTGGTAGAATGATTTGAATATACACAAAACATATTCTTGTCGAATTTTATACCAATAGCTTTAGAATTCATTAAAATATATATATATATACAAAATATATTTATGTTAAATTTTATTTATCAGTGAAATATGAGCTTTTGAGTGATTTTCGGAAGGGGGCCTAATATGGGCACAATGACCAATTGTGGACGGATACTAATCTTCCTTGGTAGTATGATATTTGTTGATATTTTATTTATATGTGCAAAATTTTGAGTTGATATCGATGTATTTGAGGAAATTATTAACGATGAATCCATTTCCGGAAATATGTACCTTTTTATGGGGGCTACGGGAAATTTTGGATCGATTGTTTTGATTTTCAACATAATTGATCCCTGGGTAAAAAAACGTGTGACAAAATTCATCGAATTATCTTTTGTAGTTTCTGAGAAAACGACTTAAGAATTACGAAAAAAAACGTAATTTTTTTCGAGGTAGTCTGAAATTTTTACTCATAACTTTTAACGTTGTGAACCGATTTTGCTGATTTTCTATACCAAACTGCTTAGGACAACAACGAATAGTTTTTGGTGAATTTTGTTGTTTGCTTTTGTTAGCGTTAATGTGAGCGTGTTTTAGGCAGACAGACAGGCGGACATAGCTAAATCGACTCAGAATTTCATAAGGATCAAGAATATATATACTTTGTTGGGTCTCAGATGAATATTTCTAGGTGTTACACACGGAATGACAGACTTATATATACCCTCTATCACTACTGATGGTGGTGGGGGGTATAATAAATCTTATTTAATATTAATAACTGGTGTAGGGTCGGTCACGCCCGACTATACTTTCTTACTTGTTTTGGTACTGCGTTGGTACCTTTTATAAATATTGTTCAAATTCAATGAAATTTATTTTATAACTTTATAAGAAATTGTAGGGAGTTTCTTCATGAGGAGACCTTCAGCATTTTTCTAAACATGAAGAAGTTAGGGAAAAATTAGCAGATTTTTTAGTTTACTCTGACGGGAGAATACTTAAGTATAATGTTATGAAATTACTAAAACCCCGGGCAACGCCGGGTACAAAAATCTAGTTGATAATAAAAAGATGTAAAAGTTACATAAATTTTCGTCATTACTACCAATAGCATATTTTTAAAATTTTGCTGATATTGATATTAAGGAAAGAAAAAGTGTAAATTATAGGTTCCAAGGACCTTGTGTACACCAAAGACACTATATCTATTTGTTATGTAAACGAATGATATAAAATGTGATAAAAATATAAAAAGATGAGTGCGTTCATAAATGTAGTAAATATGTGCATAATAATCAGAACAGTTGCGTAGATTCAAATAAGTACTTGCATGTAATAGGTGTAATAACCACTTATTTTAGTAATTAAACTACATACTTTAAATAAATTTGAGTCTAACATTTATAGTTTCCCAAATATACATATATTGCTGATTACAGATATCTATATTGTTCAACCGCCATTTTTTAATATGTACAGTTTTAATATACAACTTTTGGAATCTAGATTTTATAGTTTTCTGGATTACCATGGCCTCTATTGCTGGTCCGCTTATTTAGGTTTTGAATATTTATGTTCATCTTTTACAGTTCCTTAAACATAATTGGTTTGTTTTTATAATGTACGAACGATCAAACATCCAACTTTTAGCATTATTTAATGAATTTCTTACATATTTCTTTTTGTTGATTAGTGTCTAAAACTAACTGGTGTAAAATTTTACCCCAATCGCATAACGGGAACCCGTGCCGGAAATTGATTGAAACGTATAAAATTTCGTTGGCAATAGGACTTTTTTGATTTCTTCAAAAATTGTAATGGTACAATTACATTTTCTTGACATTTCAACTAAACCTTATTTATATTTTAGAGAAAATTATCCAACGAGGTATAATAAAATAAGATCCATACAAACAAAATCGGTATTTTTTGACCACCTCTAATGAACATATTTGTATTTTCTTGGTAAAAATAAAAAACTTAACGAATTAATATTTTTTTTGTTATTCTATATTGATACGATTAATCTTATATTCTTCATTCATTCCCAGCGAAAAATCTGGAATTTTTTGTAAAGAAAAGTAGTTATTTCATACAATACTTGGTAATGAGTAGTCATTATCAACCATATTATTTTATTTATATGAATGTGTACTTACGGATATAGAGCAAAGTAATTTGGAAATGTTATAGCCCAATTGTCTAGCGCGTCTATTTAACAAACAAGGTTGGTGGTTCGAGGCCTACTTGATTCCAATATTTTTTTTTTTTTTGAAGTGACATTGATTTATATTTGTTTAAAACTGTTCACAAAGTTACAATAAAACGAGTAGTTAATGGACCATTGATCAACCAGCTGGATTAAGACGCAGACAATAACTGAACGACTGGGTTCAAATCCCGTCTGGGGAAAATTTTATTTTTGTAATTACGATCAGAATATGAATATTATTATTTCTTCGTTTTTAGTATTCAGAGTTTCTGTAAGTAAATTGGTAACCACATAATTAGTTGTTGTAGGTAACTACTTATTTGTTGGTCAATGTCGAACAAAAATAAGTAGTTATTCCCCCCAAAAGTAAATAGTTTCTACTTGTTTCCAATATTACTTTCTGGCTTACCAGGTATGTAAAGATTTTTCTAGGAACATTGAAATTTGCCAAAATGATAAATCGTATTTAAAAAAGCATATTTTGGTTTTAAATTAGTTAAATACTTCATACATACATATATCCGAACTTTTTTGTAATTAAACTATTTTTGTTCTTATGTTATCACATTATCAAAATTTTCACCGTTCTTATCGCCTTTTAATTGGTTTTGGATGGCAGACGGAAATATTTAAAACAAGTAGGAAAGTATAGTCGGGCATGTGTTTTTTACAACGTAATTTTTCATTTCTTGTATACATACAATTTACAGAAATTTAATTACTACGATTCAATTTATCTTTGGATGAAAAAGGCCTTCCAATTTAATTAAAAAATTATAAAAATTAATGAAACAATAAAAATATAAGTGCGTTCGTAAATGCACTAATTATTGCATATATCACTGATGTCATTATCAGGAACATTTTGCAATTGATAAAAAAATATATGTATGAAAGTTACATAAATGTTTGTCATTTTAAAAGTTTTGATGTAAAGCAATATTACTAAAAGTGATTTGTATACCCACCACTTTAGTGGGGAGGATATATTGGGTTTGTGCTGATGCTTGTAACATACAAAAGTATTCTACTCGTTCTCTGAGTCGATTAAGCTATGTCCGTCTGGCTGGCTGGCTGTCCATGTAAACCTCTTGCGCAAGGTACAGGTCGCAATTTCAAGATAATTGGATGAAATTTGTCACACACGCTTCTTTTGGCCCAAGGACGAAGCGTATTATAAATGGTTAAAATCTGTCCATTATTTCACCTAGCCCCCATACAACAAAACCCCCCGAAAAGGGCTTCTGAGCTCATAATTATGTTAAATATACCTGTATATCGATAAAAAGCCTTGACGACCTTGCCAAATTTCATAGAGAGTGGGCCTTATTTGACCCTAGCTCCCATACAAAGTCTCCTTCAGAAAATTACTTTAATGTCCAAAATTAACTTATAAACAAAAATATCGCGATGAAATTCAGCACAAATAAATATTATATAAATATATTCACAAAATTTTATCGGACTTGGTCCATATTTGCCGTTAGCCCTCATATAAAGCATCTTTCAGAAAATTAGTTTTTGATCCATAAATTGCTTAAATGTATCGGAACAATGTAATAGAAGATAAATACTTTATTATGAAAATAAATCACTTTTAGGGTATCATATGATAGGTCATTCCCGACTATACTTTCATAGAAGAATAGACGACTCTTTTGCTTAGTTGACTTACAAATAGTCAGAATCAATACATAGAGTAATACAATTCAATTTATAATTTATATACATTTTTTTAGTTTGAAAGACAATCCTTTCTGTATTACATAAATATTTCTTATCTGAAAGGAACAATAGACGACTCTTTAGTTTAGTTGACCTACAAATAGAGTAAATGCATAGAGTAAAACATTGATGTAAAGTTTGCATGACTTATTTCATTGTTAAATTTTCTATATTATTAAAGATACGGTTGGTCGCACATGGGTTAATATTTTTTATACTACCTCTGCATGATGATGATCATCATTGCAAACAAAATTAAGTTTATGATAGAGATGATGTAGATCAATAGATATTTTCTAGATAGAGTTATAAATAGTTTAATATTTCAATGTATACAAAAACACAACAAAATAAAAAACATAAAAATTTTCTTTGATATATTTTCACAACAACAATAAGAAAACAGAAAAAAATTAAAATTGAGTAGAAAATTTAAAGCAGGAATATGTTTATAGAGAATTTTTGTATATAGAACGGTAACAAGAGGCAAAAGCCGCGTAGAGGCAAACAGTTTTAGATTCACAATCGTGAGAGACGTATCGACGCACGTAGTAAATCTTTAGCTGCGCTGCTGTGTGCCACTGTACGTTAGTTGGTTTTAATTTAAATATATATATCCGTTATTATTAAAATTTTTTAACGGGATAATTTTTTGCGGTATATTTTTATATAACGTTAATATGCTTGCTGAATATTGTGAAATAGGAAAATTAAAAAAAAAATAACAAAAAAATAATATCAATAAAAGGGATAACTTGTTGATATAATAGTCAGTTTGAATAAAAAGAATATTAAAAATATTTATAAATAATCATATAGAAAACGAAATATATTAAAAATTTCAATACAAAAAAATTTTAAAATATATACATGTTAAATAATATAATGTTAAAGGAATACAAAAAATATATTATTTTGAATGGAAAATATTCTTACAAGAAGGATAAAATATATTTATGTGGAATATGAGTGTTTTTTTAAAGTGAGAGATAAATGAAAAAAAAAAAATTAATTATAAAAAAAGTGCTTTCAAGACACAGATACTAATATTTGAATAGACAAACAAGACTGAATGTAAGTATGCGTTAACTACATCTGATCAAGGAGAAGGAAATGAAAATAATGATATCCCAGAGGAACAAGGGTTTGTTATTTCCCGGGAATATTTAAAAAGCCTTATACCACCGGGAATTCCCGGGAAATCTATGATTAAATCAATACAAGAGTTAAAAAATTAGATCTGCTTTGTGTTTTTAAACCGATAAATCATAATGGGAAAAACAAAAAATTGTCCTGGTAGAAATTTGGTGTGAATTATGGGTTTAAAATTGATATAAATTACATTTTCTCGATGATATGTTATTTTAACGTATAAATAGACTTTAATCTATAAGATTATATCGTATTCCATGGATATTTTAAATTCCTTATCACTGATAATAGCAATTTGTACTCTACGGTTGAAAAGTGACAATGATGACTTTCTTACCGACTACATAAAAAAGCCGGTCATTTATTATAAAAAACTATTTAGTTAGTAAATTGTCAAAAAAATATTTAACTCCAACAATGCAGAAAACTAACAATAGGCTGCGGTTAAAAATATGTTGTTGATTGTCGTTTAAAACACAACCGAGATTTATGAATAATGTGTACCCTAAAGTTTGTGTAAAGTTAAATTTTTTTAAAATTTTACTAATCATATCAAATGATCCCAATATTTAGTAACATTTACCTTAACCACAAATACTCCTAATTAAGATTGATAAAATATAGCAAACTAGAACAAGGAGTCATGATACTGTTTCATTATTAAAAATACCCTTCCAAAGTTTAGCCTTAAATAATTTTTAATATTTTTTATAATTTAAAAGTAATATTATTAGAGGTGAATGATAGCACCATTAAACATCCATTGGCTTTATATTTATTTTTGGGATGTACATAGGATCATATCAGTTCAGGATTGTTCATTTCTATCAAAAATAATAAATTGTAAAAAGTGCTATATAATATATAAAAAGATATAAACAGACATTAGAAAAATCTGGAAAAACAAAGTAAGGAAAAACGTTGTGCTTAATTTTAAAAGAATAAAAAATGTACACATTAAAACAATATATAACTATTTTTGGAATGAATATGAAGCATAGAAATGTGATAAAAATTAAATTGTTTTTATTGTCATCATTGCCAGCAAAACTCGTATACTTATATATTTTTAAACCTTTTTCCTATTTGACCACGGGAAACTTTATTTTCGAATGGCCACACATCAAATTGTCTCTTTCAAACTGTAATTTGTTTGATTGTGTTAATAAAAGGTATAAGTATAGCCAATTTGATGTGTTGCCTAGGCGCTTCCAAAAAGCACAAACGATTTTATATTCGCCGAAGGAAAAACTCGACTTTATTGGGCTATCAGTTTTTATGCCACGTTTAGCAAATATTACTAATATGTAGCATGCTTATGACAAATGTAATGATTTCCTCAGTATTTATTTTAAACAAATTTATGCTGTAAATATTCTATTAGTATGGAAAAGGTTCTTACTTTAAAAACCGTATGTTAACTGATTTATAGTATTTATTATATTTATAGTAATATTATTAGTTCTGTGAATTTCTGAACTAAAAATCTAGCAAAACAGGCAATATTCATAACTTTTTAAGTTTGTAAAATACATTAAAGATAATTTATTTTCGAATTTTTAATATATAGAATGGAGTTTTTAAGTGTTTTTATCCAAAAGTGTACTAGGACGTTGTTAACAATAATAATTTATTAATGCCGGTGCTAAACATTATATAGATTCTTTAAATTTTTATACAGAATTTAAAAAATTTAAATCTTACCAATGAATTTAAATTGAAAATTTTTAAACCAACTTTCTTGTAACTCTACAACTGACTTGTTTATATTCAAAATCTTGAAAATCAGAATAAAAAGCAAGTTTTCAAGCAAGTCTCTATAGTCTCTAAACTACCTTTTCGTGTTGTTCTGACAATCTGGCAATAATTTATTTTGACTATTTTACACTTTCTTTTTATGCATTAAGTTAAGATTATTCGTTAATATTACACTGTGTGACACTCAAAAACACTCATTATGCGATATAATGCTTTTTATAGACCTAGATGAGTAGATAATTTTACCACTTTTAGACTCTTCAATATACCCTAAAAATTGGAAGATTTTGGAAAAAAAAACGCTTTTTGTTGAGTAGACATACTAAAAAAATTATATCTCAAAAATTTCATAACCGATTTAATATTTTTCAACTGTTTTGAAAAGAGTTTCCTTTGTTCTTTTCAAAAAGTACACACACTTTTATATTTTTTAGGAAATTTGTAAAATATTTAGATCTGAATACAAATTTTATATTTTTTTTAAATTTTTTTACAATTTAAGATCATTTTATCTGATTTCAACGTTTCATATCTTATTTTATTTATAAAAGCTAAAATAAAAAAATATTTAAAAAATATGTTTTCAAATAAAGTGTGGGTAATAAATAATCTTGAATTGTAAAAAAAATTAAAAAAATATAAAAGTTTGTATTTAGATCAAAATATTTTACAAATTTCCGTAAAAAATATAAAAGTGTGTGTACTTTTTGAAAAGTACAAAGTTGAAAACAGTTGAAAAATATTAAATCGGTTAAGAAAATTTTGAAATATAATTTTTTTAGTCTGTTTAGTCAAAAAAAAAATCCAATATCTTCCGATTTTTAGGGTCTATTGAAGATTCTAAAAATGGTACTGTAATCTACTCTACTAGACCTACCAACTTCACTAGGTCTCGTGATGAGTGTATTGATTTTTTGTAATTTTGTCACACTGTGTTATTAATAAAAAATCGTTTTTTTTAAAAAGGTCAAAGTCAGTTTTTTATTTTAAAAAATTTTATAAAAAAATAAAATCAATTTATTTAATTGTTTTTAATAAGTAGGATTTCTAAATTCTAGTAAAAAAATCACTTTAATTAAAATATAAATCTTTGAAAAGTGGTACATCTTCTAGAATAAATCCAAGTAGTTTTTTTCATTTCTACGTTTATAAGTATATTTTTTTAATTTACGAACAAACTTTATTTCAATATATAGTACATTTTAAAATACAAATTTATATATAAAAATATATGTATTTACTCATTTGTATGTTTTAACATATATGTTTAAAATAAATGTACATGTCAGTGTATATATTTAGAACTATATATTTTTATATTTATTTTGAAGATGTTTAGGCGAAACACATTAGCTAAAAATAAACATAAAAAACACAAATGGACTGATAAAAGCTAAAAAATATTTTCCAAAAAATAATAATAAATAAGTATAAAAAATATATCATATTACATTTTATCCAAGAGCAACAACACATGCGCTTAATAGTTGTGAGAAAAAGAGAAAGACAGAATGAGAGAACCCGTCCGTAACGAAGTCTATACTTTGTAATGAATAGATAGATATATCTATATTTTTTATAGGTTGATGTAGATATTATTTTTATTATTGCTATTAATATAACAAACTAATTAACTCATTTTCGCCATTTTTGTATAAAACTCGTCATTCTTAAAAAGAATATAATAAATACTCAAGGTTTGAAAGTTCTATAAAGAATTTTGGATATTGTTTACATATTAAAATATAAAATCCCAAGGTTTTTTACCTGAAATTCTAAATTCCGAATGCATTTAAAAATTACTTAAACTTTGCCATTGTCTGTAATGAGTTTTATTATTATGGAGTAATATAACATTATAATTTAAAAAAATGTATTTTCTTTACTTTTTTCAAAACTGCATATAAAAAGTTTTCAACAAATTTGACCTCGAAATGTTATAAATAGAAAATTTTCTTATAAAAAACGCTGATTTGGCAACAGCGCTATTATATAGACAAATAGTATGTAGAAATCGATTATAGATTAATAAACAGCTGTTTATCACAGTATAACAGCTGTTTATACCAAAAGCGTTAAGAATTGTGTTTGTTTACATTCGTGACATTTAATTTTTATTTAAAAATATACATATAAAAGTTTTAAATTTTGTAAAGTATAATTTTAAGCGCACAATTAGAAACACTATGTAAATTAAAAAAAATAATAATACTATTAAAATCGTCAATTATTATAATGACTGCATCTTCGTTAAGTAATTGTACCTCACAAACTCTAAATCTGTTATTAAGACAGTTAATATAGATAAAATGAAAATTTTGTAGAAACTAGTGTAAAACCCCAAATTTTGAATTATGATATTCTTGAATTTCTTGAAATTTTTATAAAAACAAAAAACTCTAATAACAAAGCTTAATGCATATATTCATAGAGAAATAATTATTTTCTATATATAAATTAGTTTATTTTCGTTTGTATCTTGAACAGAACATAACTCGGTCTTGCATACCTCGATAAATATTAAATTGACAGTATTAAAACTATGTATGAGCTATTTTTTTGTAATTGTATGTAGTAAACATATTAAGCGTGCCATATCTCATGCAATATTATTATTTATTAATTAAATATCTAGAAAATATTGTGCCTAAAAGCTAAAGGCAAATACATTCAATAAGTGGCATTTATTATGGATAAAAATCCTAAATACGTTATTTAATTGCTTAAAAAACGAATGCAAATACATACACTATATGCGTATTCACATATTATTATAATAAAATTAATCCAATAATTTTCTCAATAAAACATAAAAAACTGTTCACATAAGATGAATTTTAAAATATATTACTTTGGATCTTGATCTCACGTCATGTGAAAAAATCTAAATTTTATCTGACGACACGATTTTTCACAATTCACGCTCTCATTCGCAACATAACTCCTAATTTCGAACCGAATTATTCGTACGATTGTCTGATTGTTTTCGTTTGTTCAAAACAAAATAAAAAATACATATCCTACACCAATTACGAATATTAAATGTGATTTATTTTCAATAATAAAATTTACTAACTTATCTTGAAAATTGCGACCTATAGCCAGCGCACAAGAAGTGATTCAGAACGGACTGGTATAATTTAAGATTGGTGTAGGACAAATATTTTGAGTGTTACAAACATCAGCACAAACGAATAGTACTCTCTCTTCTATAGGGTGATCGATTATTCGACATTTTCCAAAAACCGGTTTTCGAATAGTTCGAATAATAAAATCCATTTTATTTTGAAAAAATTAAAGTGATTTTTAACAGTTTAAAAGATTATAAATTTATATATAGTCGTCTGATTTACATTATTTCTTTAATGTAAAAAAAAACGGAAAATAGTGGGACACTTCTGTTAAATAAGCAACTATGTAATCCTAGCTTATTCTAAAATCCCTGTTTAGACAATTTTCATAGGCAATCCAACACATCAATAATAGTTTAGCCGCCAAGTAATTATTGTAATTGGAGTATAATCTTAAGATTGATAAAATTTTATCAAATATTTATTCCAATAAATTTTAAAAATAAAATTTGTTAATTAATTAGGAAAATCAAAAAAGTTTAACCAACGATGCGTTAGAAAAATATACTCTAGTTCCAGGACTCCAATATTTTTAAAATTTAGACGGACTGTATTATTATTTACTACAAAATTAAATTTAAGTAATCTTTGAATACAAAGCAAATAAAAGTATTCGAATCCGGTTTTTAAAAAGTAAAAAAACCTGGTTATTCGATATTCGAAAAATCGACATTTAGAAGAAACCGACACTGGTAAAGCAGAAAAAACCGGTTGAAAAACCGAGTCGATCACCCTAATAGTGTTGTAGGATATAAAAACTGGCTTTTATGTCCTATTAGTGTTTATTAGTGAATTTTGAACATTCAACGCATTGTCCTTGGGTCAAAAGAAGAGTATGTGCCAAATTTCATAAAATTATCTTGCAAACCCTCCCCACTGTAGTGATGTAGGTTTGATTGATGATTCTGATCCGATTGGTATAGTTTAAGGTGGGTATAGGACGAATTTTTTTGTGTGTTACATTACAAACATCAGCACAAGTATCAGCACAGTCACAGCAAGCAAAACTAGCAACAAAAATAAATACCGTGATACTATTTTTCTGAAAGTAGAACAAGTATCTGTTTTTGAAATTTGCCAAACACCTCCAAAATCTTGAGATACGGGTAAAAACCGGGTTTTCGTTCCTTTAAGCACTTATAAGTTTTTAACTTTGCTGAATATAACCGATTTTATGTTTCTCAACGGATTTAGAAAGCAGATATGATGTTTAAGTAACCTGGAGAAATTTGGTACATTTCATCGGCAAACATATTTTTAATTTTAGTTTTGCATAATTTTACAAGTTTTTGATATAGTAACCGTACTATTTATAAATGTATTTGACTATGTCTATTCACGAGTAATATGCAACTTTGGTGTTAATAGTCCGTTAACAATTGACGATTTTTTTTTTCTTAATACAAAATTGTTCAAAAAATAATTTTCTGAAGGATGCTTTGGGGTTAAATATGGGCCGATCCTCGTAAAATTTGATGGAAGGATTTATGTTATAAAAATTATTTATGCTGAAATTCATCGTGATTCATCGTGTTTTACTCTTGAATAGACCTGGTTTTGTAATCAGTTAATAAACAGTACGGTTCCTATATAAAATACTTTGAAAAACCATCACCAAACTTGAAAAACGGTTCAGAACTAAAATCAAAAAAATGTTTGCCGATGAAATGCGAACATAATTCTACAGGTAACTTTAACATCATATATGTATGTCATTTTAAAGGCCTCAGCTTCTTTCTAATTAAGATTCAACTAAAATAATGACTCATAAGTGCATAAAGATACGAAAATCCGATATTTTACCCGTATCCCAAGATTTTCGAGGTGTTTGGCAAATTTCAAAATCAGATTCTTGTTCTACTCGGATCCACCTTTCCCAGGTATTTCAATTTTCGTTTATTTTGTTTCACTGTGTTGTATGTTGTTTTTGGAAATATTGTATTTGTAGTAGAACCACCTTTAACTTATAATCAGTGCGCCCTAAGCTGGGGCATCGACTTGCAGTCAGTTCACCTGTATGCTTGTAAGTGCCGGTTCACCCTTAGCAACTTTTTGATTTTGCATTAGAAAGAATAAAGAAGAATGAAATTTCTTTATTCTTCTTTCTCCCATAAATTTAAAAGTTGATTTTTAAAAAAGCTCGACAGCGTCGGGTTGTGAATGTCAATTGTTTTAAATGTACTCGGGATAAGTTTTGATGGACAAAAAAAATAATCAGCTATTGAAATGACTTAACTTACAATAAAATTTTAACAGATCTTAAAATTTACAAACAGAATACAGTAAAGCCAAACAAAAAAAAAAAACAGTACAAATTGCCACAAATTTTTTTAAAACTTTCTGATATTATTGTTTCGGTTCATAATATAATTTGGGTTGCAATAACATGACTTGTAATTATTACTAAATGCTTTATTTATTTAACTATATGCCGATTGTAGTGAAACATACCAAAGTATCTGGTGGGAAACAAACTTACGATCCTCAGACCTATAGACTATCTACACACTAGTCTAAACGGACCACCAAAAAGTGACATTTATAGTATTAGCTTTTTTACGTGTCACTCTAATTTTTATTGTAGTCAATTGCAGTAGGAAACATTTCCGTTAAAATACTAACATTTTGTTTTTAAAATTGATTCTTCTTGTTTATACTTATTATTTTTCCACCGGTGTATTTATATGTATTTACTTTTTTCATTATACATTTGACATTGCCTTCCGATTAATGTTTTAGTCAATAAAAAATATATGCAACAAATCTGTATTATCCTGAAAATGTTTTACTAATATTAAAATATTATGGGGTTATTTTATAAAAATAATATGTAATAAATTTTAAAATAATTTTTCCTAACAAATATTAATTGAAAAAATCTCTTATGGAAAATATTTTAAGCTACAGTTTAGCTGTATAAACAAAAACCAAATTTCAAATCCATTTCGACATGATTTATAACATATTTTTATATTTTCCAATAGGTAACGAAATTATACAATACCAGAGAAATAATAAAACTAGAGAGAGAAATATAATATATAAAAAATACGCAGCTAGATTGAGAGACAGAGAGAGACAATTTTTAAGAGAGATTTATTTACGAAACATTATCAAAAACTAATTATAAGTATATCACAGAAAAATCAACCAATAATATATATACCTCGCCACTGCAAAACTTGAAGACATTTACCAATAAAAAGGAAGCGGAAATTTTAATCGGGAAATCATCAAATAAAAAACACAAGAAAAAGGCGACGACGGCTGTAAATACCGTCTGATGTTTCATTAATGTTTACGAAAATTTTCCCTATATATACATTTAAGAAACACACACAAAAGTAGTTGTAAAATTTCAAACCCTTCAGTTTTTTGAAGGGGAGATACTTCATCGCAGGCATTTTTTGCTTATTGTTTTTGACAAAAACCGTGATACTAAATAATTAAATACTCAGCATGGGAGTGGCTGAAGATTTCGCTCCCAGCTTCGTAAAGAAGCCACAATTGCGTCAAGAAGATGATGGCAATCGTTTAATATTTGAGTGTCAATTATTGTCATCGCCTAAACCAGATATTGAGTGGTATCGCAGCGATAATTTAGTAATAGAGGATGAACGTACAAAATTTAAAATCCAACCAATTGGTGATAACAAATTTACTGTAGTATTAGAGCTCGATGATGTCATCGAAACAGATGCCGGACTTTACAAAGTAAAGGCCAAAAACAAATCGGGCGAAGTTTCAGCCTCTATAAATTTAAATTTCACACGTAAGTAAAAAATATATACAAGTTTAATAGTTTCTTATCTTTATATTAGATGTGCTTTTGAAATAATAGGTTTTATTTTGTTTATTAGTATCTAAAACTAAATAGCTCTGTTGGATAACAGAGAGAAAGTTATAATTCAGTCATTAAATCAAAATGTTAAAAATTATTTATTATTTTCAGTTTGACAGAAATATTTCGTTTTTAATTATTTGTATATCAGATATTACTTTTCATATTCCATGATTTGAAACTATGTATGTTTTTTGAATTGACAATCGTTAAATATGTCTACAAGAGATATCCATAAATAGGTCTACAAAGGATTGTTTTTATAATTTTTGACACTGTTAACAGTGTCCAAATAACAGATTTGATTCAAAGATAAAATTCAAAAAACTATTTTTTAAGTTAATAATGTAAGGGGTAGTGATAATTAAATTGGTTAGTTAGTTTAATGTAAATATGTAATATTACTTAGTTTCAACATAAATATAATGTTCAATTTTTTAAATATGAAATATTTTCATGAAATTAATATCTTGTTTGTTTTAACATTTGGCCAAATTACAGCTGCCGATGAACCAAAAGAAAAGTAAGACACTATAATAATAGTTTGCAAAACTGAATTATTTAATCAATAATAGCTTTTTTAAGATCTTTAATTCTATGTAACAATTAATCTTAATACGCATTTATATTTATTATAACCAAAGAAGCTACATTTACACATTTGCCTTTCATATATATTTTTTCTGCTTTTTAATTGCTAAATAAATCTTATACACTGCTTTATATTATGCTTTTAATAAACAAAGAGGGCAGATTTTCCGTCCAGGAGGATACGCGGTAAGTATGCGTTGAAACTTTCCTAATTTACATGTTTTGCACATTTTTTACAGAACTACTTATGTACTACAAGAGAACGTCTTATAAAGAGAAATCTAAAGTAGCAATTCACTTACATATTTCCTAAATTAATCTTTTAAAATTTACATTTTACAATGGCAATTCTATATAATATCAATTAATATATGGGGAATTTCATGTCAAGATAACCAACTCAAAAAATCGATTTTGACGAAAGTTATTACTATTGGATAATAGGTCAGACACAAATTTTCAGCGCTATAGGTTAAGAACTGCCGGACTTAGAGGGGTTCAAAGTTGGACATTTTGGTCATACAGGGTTTTATTCAAATGAGTGTAACTTTTCACCTATTGGTCCTAGCAAAAATCGTCCAAAGGAATTTAAACAGCTATTTCTTCATTCTTTCCAAAAAAATTTTTTGTTTTTTTTTTTTTTTTGCTTAAAAGAAAGCTTATACAATTTCCTTAAAGGGCGTTATAGTCCCATAATGGGATGCGAGTGGGATATCCATAAAAAAAAATATTTTTTATCTCAAGAATAATTTTTTTTTTCAATATTTGGCACTTAATTTTCCCCTATTTTTCAAAATGGACGTTTCTGTTGTATTTTTTTTTTTTTTTTTTTTGCTCAAATAAAGCTTAGATCATTTCCTTTAAGAGATTTGTGGTCACTTAGTTAACATATTTTTAATATATACATATATCCCACTAGCATCCCACTAAGTAATCACAAAGCTCTTAAAGCAATAGTCTAAGCTTGATTTTGAGCAAAAAAAAAAAATACAACAAAAGCGTCCATTTTGAAAAAATAGGGGAAAATTAAGTGCCAAAATATTGAAAAAATATTTCAGTCATGACTTAACTTTTTTGACTTAATTTTTTTCTTAGAGCCCTTAAAGGAAATTATATACGCTTTCTTTTAAGCAAAAAAAGGGTATTATTTAAACAAAATTTAATTAAATTTTTTTTGAATAGAATGGAGAAATAGCTATCATTTGAATAAAACCCTGTATATCAAAATGTCCAACTTTGACCCCCTCTAAGTCCGGCAGTTCTTAACCGATAGAGCTGAAAATTGTGTCTGGCCTATTATAGTTCTAACATGGTGCAAATTTCATCCAAATCGGAAGACATCGATTTTTAAAGTTGGGTCACTTGGCACGAAATTTCACATATTTATGCTATAATTTGTAACTATTTAAATTGAAAGTATAATATTTATAGACGTTCTCTGTGCTAGATTAGAAATGCTATCTATTATTTACGGCAAATAACAATAATAATGTTACGCATTTACATACATATGTATCTCAGCTCTTCAAACATTAAAGTATATATTTTTTAACAAAAGGCAAATCGACGGATTCGCGCCGACATTCGCGAAAAAGCCTTCAATTCGACAGGAAGATGATGGCAAACGACTACTGTTCGAATGTCGGGTAAATGCAGATCCCAAACCCACAATAACATGGTTCCACAATGGCACAATAGTCAAAGAATCCCCGCGCCATAAGGTAAATAAATATACTGACTACTGAATACTAATATAAAGTGCAATTAGTGAATACTGAAGTAGAATTTGACTTTAACTTGTTGTAGTATGGTATCGTTGTATATCATATTTTTTTTATTATAGACGTTCTCTGTGCTGAAACAAAATCAAAACAATAATAATAAACCAATTACGACATACAAAGCTAAGATGCCCAATGTGAATTGGAGAATTGCTTTCAAGTAATGTCTGATAGGTGTGACAAAACTCAAAAGATAAATTTAGTCGCCACATAACCTAGAGCAGAATTTTTAATATACCCAAAAATAGGGAGTTATTTACATAAAACGGGTTTTTAGATGTTGACGGGCTTAAACATTTAATTTCAAATTTATATAATTTGATATGTTTATTGATATTACTATTTATGTATAATATAAACGTTTTACAATGTTCACGAGGACTTTTTAAGTTTTTAAAACTTTTTAAATTGTATACAAATTATCGAGGGAATGGAAAAAATAAACTTTAACGGATTCGACATTCGATATGCCTATTTTTTATGAACACTACGGATTCTATAATAGGCAGACGCTTTCAAATTTTGACATTTTATTCTGAACACTTTTCAATTATAAAATTTTTATTTATATAATAGCTCTTGTCAAAGGATTATAATTTTATATAAGATCCTATTACGACCTATTACGGATATATTTTTTATTATTGATGATTACATTTTTTTTACTTTTTTACAAACTTTAGATAAGTATCGATAAGGATGGTAACTCATATTTTGCAACACTTGAAGTTAAGAATGTAACGGTTGAGGATGCCGGTAAATACAAAGTGAATGGCAAAAATGAGCTGGGTGAAAGTAATGCTACAATTAGCTTAAATTTCGACAGTAAGTAAAAACACATAATATAGATACATATTTACATATACATAGCAGACATCTGCATGAATGTATTTGAATACATTTCAATTAATTTTTTGAAAATATGACTCCAAAAAAGATTCTAAAGATCCGTCTGTCTGTTACAAGTAAATACTGTGGGGCTCAACAGATATTGCTTACGCGAAAAATAATTTAAACTAAATTTTCGTCAATATGACGCCTAAAATTCTTAAATATGAGGCCTAAATTTAATTAAAATACAGTTGAGAATCTATTAGTGTGTCAGCTAATTTCGAACCCATATTTGCAGCGAGTTTGTAATCAAATATCCATATGCAGATGTCTAATAAACATATAATACATATGTATATCAAGATACAAATTTATTATTCTATTTGTTAAATATATTTTTTATATTGTTAATAAAATAAAAACCACAGTTAATTGTGTTATATAGCGTTAATTGTTTATATAAATATCAATTGTTATCTAAATATGTATTTGTGCGTGTGCGTTATTACCGATACGTACCTACATATACAACTGAAAGGGGCTTAATAAAATAACGTTTGCCAAACTGTAAGCAGCGCTGTCAGATAGACATATATAAATATACATATGTATAAAATTATTTAATGAAATTTTTACATTTTTTGGCTTTAATTCTAATTCTAATCTGAAAATTAAATACAGATCGATTTCCGATCAGCGGTTTGACCTCACATCCAATTGCTTCTCTAAAACTGTAATTTGTTTGATTGTGCCAGTAAAAAATGTCAGTTTGTGAGAGCCTGGTAAATGTGTGGCCAAGTCGCTGTAGCCTAGGCCACAAATAATCTAAAAATGGAAATCGTATCAGAAATTGTAAATAAAAAAACAACACATTTAATATGTTTAGTAATAAAAATATTTCTTTTTGGTTGGAGATAAGTGGCAGTATATTTATGCCAATCGGGGTTTAAAAAAATCAATTGTCGAAGTTGACGTTAAGTGTCACAATAACCCGAACTGCGATTTTCAAAATTTCATTTAAACCATAATTAAAATATAAAAAATATGTAAGAATAAGTATCTGACATGCCTACTTACAATATCATTAACTTTTTTGTTGGAAAAAAAAATTTATTTACAAATTTAACTTACATTAATTAATAAACAGTTTCAGCAGCTTTTTTCTTTTTGTTGTTTTCTAATAATAATATTTTTTTATTATTGGTTTTTGTTTTTGTGTAAGTATTCTAACCCCGTTTTTTGTTCTGATCATTAATAATAAAAAATAATTTGCATTACATTACCAAAAAGCTGAAACATTTGTCATATATTTTGAAACAAAAAAGAAAAAGGCATATTTTAATTTAGTGAGAGAATAAGATAATGATGGTACACATTAAACGAGATTTTTTGTTATAAAATAATTTTTAATAAACTAAAGATCACCACAAAAATATTTATACCTACATCATAGGCGATGAAGCTCCAGTACCTGAAGATGGCATAAAACCCACATTTACCGAACGACCAGTCATACGACAAAGCGAAGATGGTGGCAATGTAACATTCGAATGCAGATGTGTTGGTGATCCCAAACCTGGAGTTACGTGGTACGAATAATTATTAAAAGGCGTTACACAATTGAATACATATATAATTTTGTTTTGGAAAACATCAGTTAGAAATAGGCGATATCGAGAATAAACTATGTATGTCACATAGTAACTTTTTATTTACAAAATTTAGGCCCCACTTTTTCGCCAGTAAATTCACATTTTAATAATATCGCTATTACTTAAGGCGAATCGATTATAAGTTAAGCCCATGGCGAATTTATTTTACAAGGTTAGATAAATTCTACAACATTCTAACAAAATTTTCATCCCATTTTATGTATTTCGATATTTCGAGCATAACAGTATTTTTTTAAGTAAGTCTGCACAACTGTTTAAATTTTTAGAAAAATATTTTTGTAGTTTTTAGTAAATTTTTCGGTTAAATTGTAAGTGGGAATACGCCGATTGTGAATGATGTTTTCCTAGGATCGTGTTAGCAACTAAAAATATATGTAAATAAATTTATTGTATGTAACTTAAAACGTACGTTTCAAAAAGGTACCACGCCCAGGATGAATTAAAAGAGGGAGGCCGTTACAAAATGTCTTTGACATTGGATCAGAAATTATATCACATGGCTTGCTTGGAAATATCAAATGTTGTATCAAGCGATCAAGGTGAATATCGTGTTAAGGCCAAAAATAAACACGGAGAGGGTGTATCTACGATTAATTTAAATTTCGAAGGAGGTTCAAAAAAGTAAGTGGGGTGGGTGTTATACTGTGAGGGTTACAAGCATTATATGTTGCAAACAGAAAACAAATTATTAAAAAATGCTAAAAACATTAAACATTCAAAATAGAATACCCGATGGAAAATCACCGCGCTTTCCTAAGAAACCAACAATACGACAAGAAGAAGATATTTTAATCATGGAGTGCATATTAGAGGCCCACCCGGTGCCAGATATTACCTGGTATCGTGGTGATGATAAAATCGATAATTCATCAAGGATTAAAATGTCGCGCAAAGCCACATCAAAGGACAGCTATGTGTTGACTTTGGAAATACAGAATCCGACCAAAGAAGATGGCGGCAATTACCGTTGTAATGCATTTAACATGTATGGCGAGAGCAATGCCAATATTGCGCTCAATTTCCAAGGTACATAATATTTTGTTCATAAAGTGTATGAAATGAGTATTGATATATGATTTAATCTGATAATGATATGAAATGTTCTACAAATTTTAACCTACATAACCAACGTTTGCAATTTTTAGTAAAAGAACTAATATCTTAAATCTAAAAGGAAAATATTCGAAAACTCGCCTATTAACAATAGGCGTTGTTTTGCATGATTCAGATGCATGCACAGACATAATTACCCAATATGCATTTACACAACAAGATCGGCAAATATGTAGATACTTATGCAAAGAGGGGATGGGGTGGAGCAATAATGATTTATAGCTCCTAACTAATAATTTCATCGTCTGTATTATCCCAATTAGGTTTCCATGCTACTGGAAAGGGAATAGTTCGATTTTTAGAACAAATAATCTAGAAAATGAATTTTCTTTGCGATTCAAAACCAGATAACTCAATATCGCATAATGTGTGGAAATATAACAAGGTCGGCATCAACCTTCCTATTATAAATTGATTTATTTTATAATCAAGAACAAATGAATTGACAAAGCCATCGCTGTTTAAAATTATCTGTAAGTTTTTATAAATTACTAAGCTTTTGGTTTCTCAAAGCCAAGTCACAAAAAGTTTCAATGATCTGGTATATACTCTAAAAACCTTACCAAAAATGTATAAAATAACATGAAATGGGAAAATTTGCACAATAATTTAAAAATTGCAACACGTTTTTATATTAAAATATTTAAAAAAAATATGTTTATGGTTATCTATTAAAAAAAAATTATTCACAGAAAGCGTTGAAGAAAGTTCCTGAATATCAAAATGATTTAAAAGTACCATTCAAAGTCCTTTAGATTCATCCATATGATTTCATAAAATTCAAACTCTGTAAATATTTTTAATCGTATTGTTGCAATATTTATAATGTCCATGATGGTAAACGTAATGGTGTCGGTAAAATGGAGCGCATGAAGTAAATTATTGTAAAAGTTGTAAATTTCAGGATTTTCAGAAAAATTTAGTTTTCAAATAAATATGTTTCATTTGTATTCCACCAAACGTCTTCATCCAAACGCTTTTCATTGCAAAATCAATATCAATTTAAGAAAATCACATTAAATAGTTTTATTATTTTCTTTTAACTTTACTTATAAAGCTTCTTTTTTAAATTATTAAAAATATTTACATTGTACAAAAAGTAGAAAAGTTTATTTTATAACAAAAATTATAATTTATTTAGGCGCTAACGATGCAAATGGATTTGCACCATCATTTATCGAAAAACCACGAATTATTCCAAACGACTCTGGTACACTAATCACGATGAAGTGCCGATGCAAGGCTAAGCCTGAACCAACTGTTACTTGGTACAGAGGCCAGGAAGTGGTAAATAAGTCAAGTAAAATAAAGATTAAAACGACTGTGATTGCCGAAGACACCTATGAGTTGACTTTGGAAATCAAGGTAATTTTCAATGTTTGCACCCGAAGAAATTTTTAGTTACTAACAACTTTTACATACGACATTTTCATATATTTATAATGTATTTTTTTTTTATTAAATTGTTAATTTTTAATATATAAATACATAGGACCCCGGCGCATCCGACGGTGGCACATATAGATGTAACGTTCAAAACGAATATGGCGAATCGAACGCCAATCTCAATTTAAATATCGAAGCGGAACCAGAACCTGAAGGTGAAGGACCAACATTTGTCGAAAAGCCACGTATTGTTTCCGAAAACAATGGAAAGCTGGTTATAATGGAATGTAAGGTTAAAGCAGATCCCAAGCCAGATATTGTATGGTATCGCAATGGTGAAGTGGTCAAAGAAAGTAATAAAATCAAAATGTCCATGGAACAACGTGGAGACCAGTATTACATTAAACTGGAGCTAATTGACCCTCAATTGGAAGACTCCGGTTTATATAAGTGCAATATCAAGAACATTCTGGGTGAACTTAATGCCAATCTTACACTTAATATTGAAAGTAAGTATATTATATGTATATAGTTTAGAGTATACATACATACATCTAAATTTTATACACAAAATTCACTCTACTTTAATGAAAAAGGCAAGGATTTTCATGCGGTAAAAAATTAAAAATATGCGCTTATAACATACACTATAAATTAGGAAAATATGCACTAAAATGTGAAAAAGTTGGACCAAAAATATTTCCTTCTGTAATTTATTTGTTATAATTTTTTTATCGTCTTTAAGAACATATTTATAGATACATATTTAGAACTTAAGTTTTTGACAACAAATATATATGTTCTTGATGACAGAGCTACCGCATTATGTACTCTAATACTAATTTAACGGAACCACGATCTCAAAAATTACAATAATGATTTCATATCAAGTGACCCAACTCAAAAAATCGATTTTGACGAAATTTTGCACCAATGTTAGTACCATTTGATAGTCCAGAACTGCCGGACTTAGAGGGGGTCAAAGTTGGACATTTTGGTCATACACGGTTTTATTCAAATGCGTGAAACTTTTCACCTATTGGTCCCAGCAAAAAGTGTCCAAAGGAGTTCAGATAGCTATTTCTTCAATGTTTCTCAAACGAAAGCTTAGACAATTTACTTTATGGTCTTTATAGTCCCTTAATAGGATGCGAGTGCGATATCTATAAAAAAATATTTTTAAACTTAAGAATAAGATTTTTTCAATATCAAAAACATTGCTTCTTGAGGTCAAATATTTTTTTATACATCCCGCTAAATATCCACAAAGCTCTTAAAGGAAATGGTCTAAGCTTTGATTTGAGAAAAAAAAAGGTAACAAAAACTTCCATTTTGAAAAAATAGGGGAAAAATCTTATTCTTAAGTTAAAAAATATTTAAATAAGTCCGGCAGTTCTGGACCGATATCGCTGAAAATTTGTGTCTGGCCTAATATCCAATAGTACTAACCTTGGTGCAAATTTCATCGGAAGACATCGATTCACTTGACACGAAATGACCCATATATTTAATTTCTGAGAGTGGGAAAGCTTACTGGCTTCATTCAAACAACGAACATGTGCAAATGTTTGTAGAACATTTATTTTCTGAAAGACGAAATTGTCCGATTCTAATAAAATTTGATGAATTGATATATCTTTATATAAATTATATTTGTTCTGAATTTTATCGTATTATTAAGCACTTTTGGACATTACAATCAGTAGCAGAAATGCATAATACTCTCACCGCTGTGGTTTAAATTTTAAGGTTGTATGGGGGCTAGGTGAAATAATGGACCGATTTCAAACATTTTCAATAGGCATCGTCCTTGTGGCAAAAAACTTGTATGAAAGTGATTCTGAGTCGATCGGTATACTTTAAGGTGGGTGTAGGACCAATATTTTTATGCGTTACAAACATCAGCACAAACGCTCCCCACTATAGTGGTGTAGGGTATAAATATGTAATAAAAAGAGAACAAAACACAAATTGTGTTAGTTAGAAAAATAAAAAAATATTCAAAATATACTACAAAAATTTTAGAAATGTGCAAAATATATGCAATTTAAAGCATAATATGCAATTTATGCATTTAAACCAAAATATGCAATAACAAATCAATGCCATTTTGTAGCAAATTCTTTGATTCGTAAGGAAAAATAGTTAAAATTATTTTAAGTTACTGACTGCAAATATGCATTTGCATAGAAATCTTTGCCTAGTTAATGAATATACCAAACTGAATTGGTGAAATAATATGTTCAGTATATATTTTTAAGGAATTTTAAATAACAAATTTTAAGAACATTGTTAGGAAAATTTAAAAAATAACTTTTATTTACTTTTACTTTTAATATGTGTTTTTTATATTCTCTAGTTGTTCCTGTTATCAAAGATAAACCCAAGATCATTAAAATTATTAAAAAACGCACTGTGGTTATTGAGTGCACAGTGGCCTCGAAATTCGAACCCAAGTGTACCTGGTTTAAAGAGACTAATGAAGTTAAACAAAGCAGTCGCCATGTTTATGTGGTAGAAAAGACCAAAGAGGGTGAATTTGCAGTTAAATTGGAAATCAATGAAGTCGAGGAGACTGACAAGGGTGCATATAAATTGGTAGCCAGCAATGAGAAGGGTGAAGCCGTCTCTCAGATTGTCAATTTGGTTGACATACCCGAGGAAGAACGAAAGCCCACAAAACCGGAAATAACACGCAAACTCACCGATCAAAAGGTGGTTGAAGGCAAAACTTTCGAATTGTTGATTAGTCTCAAGCAATCAGATCGCAAATGCAAAATCGAATGGTACAAAGGCACTACTTTGGTTAAGGAGACTAAAGATATTACTACAACTTTTGATGGTACAACTGCTCGTTTAACATTGAGTTCGGCTCGCATGGAGCATAGCTCCACTTACAAAGTTGTCGTTGCCAACGAGGCCGGCAAAGATGAATCCACTTGTAAGATTGTGGTCGAAAAGAAGCAGGACAAGAAAAAACAGGAGGAAGAAGCTGCCGAAGTAAAACGCAAGGTAATTACAAAACAAGAAGTCGATGAAAAAAAAGAAGAAAAATCGACAAAGCAGGTAGAAGAACTAAAGCAAGAAATTCAAGAACAGAAAGATCAGGTTAAAGCTGTCGTTCAGCAGCAATCGAAATTAGAACAGAAACAGGAAATCAAGCAAGCTGTTGTTAAACAAGCTGAAATGCTAGAAGTTAAAGTAGAACAACAAAGAAGAGTTTCATTCAGTTTGCAACAGGAAATAAATCAGGATACAACTATAGTACAAGTGCAACAGATACAACAAGTAGAACAATCGCAAAAACAAGAAAGCACCAGTGTACAACAGAAAAGGAAGGTAACGGTAAAAAAACAGGAAGCCCAAATAGAAGAGAAAGCTTCAGTATCAAAAGAACAGGAAGAAAAATCTACAAGGGTTAGTCAGGTTTCCGCCACTGTTTCAAAGACCTCTGATTTGAATACTAATAGAAAAAAATCGTTAGCTCCTGAAGTAACAATTTATGAACTTCCAAAGCTTAAACCATTTCAACCCAAACGAAAATTATCACGTGAATTAGATAGTCAAGAACGCAAGGTCATATTCGATGTACAGCTAAAACCAACGCAACAAGTACAAAGAGACGAGGTTCGATTTATCATAAAATATTTGTTTGCATAACTTCATATTTATTCTTTCTATAGTCTATACTTATTTCTTTTTATTTCTATTTTTCTCAATATTTTTTCTTCTCGTCTCTTAATTTTAATTTCTATAAACCTAAATATAACCTCTTGTTGAAACATATACACATGATTTGAGTTTGCACATTCTATATTTCGCCTACAAGAGGTTTTATTTCAACTCCCAGTTATCTAGCGAATTATAAATAAATAATTTTCTCCACAGTTCTAGAAACATGCATATCTTTCTTCTCTATAGTTTATTACTATACCATGAGTTGGAATGCGTGAATGGCTTTTGGTATTATTTTTTTCTACGTATTTTGTATACAATCTACCCTCCTTATTCGTTGTTTCCAAAAAATTAGGTGAAAATAAGTAAATTTTGTTTGGAAACATCTTTATTTCGTAATTTGTCCGAAAATTTCTGATCCTTATCTTAAACTTTGCTTTCTTGAATCTATTTATTTTCTATATGTGGTTTGACTCCTTTAACTGCTGTGCAAAATATAACAGGATCTGTATCAATGCACAAAATGCTTATTTGTTAAAAACTTTTATAATTTACATTAACATGATATACTTTTGTACGTACATTATTTCAAATTCATCAAAATTTTACAATTTACACTTTCGATAAAGGAACGAAACGATTCATAAATTAAATATGTATGTACATTAGGGTAATGACGTAATGACCATAGCACTGCCTTATAGCCAATACTGTCCTAATAATATAATTCCGCACCGAAAGCAATTTCTAAAATGCTCTCGTGCGTTATTTCCAAAAATTATTTTAATAATTTTCATATAAAAGTATGCAATCAAACTCGTTTATAACGAACTCCGTGGAACCAGTCACATTTGTTCGTTATAAGCGAAGTTCGTAATAAGACAGGTGAAGTTTTTGTAGTTCCAAAAATAAAGTGGCATTTTACAAAATTTTAAGACTATGATTTATAAATTGATTTAATATTCTTTACAAAAAAAAACACCATTGATTTTATTTGTTCATATTTTTCTTAACAAATTTAAACTTTTTTTTAACAAAGCAAAATATATCCCTATGACTTTAACACATAATTTTGAAGTTCGTTATAAAATTATAGTTGTACTTGAGGGACTGAAAAAGTAGTTCGTTTTATACGAGGATTCGTAATAACCGAGTTGTTTTTTGTATGAAAATAGTTACCAAAATTGCGGGACTTGTAAACTTGTTCGTAATAACCGAGAATTCGGTTATTACGAACAAGTTTTCAACCGAGTTTTCAACCGAGTTCGTTATAAGCCAGTTTGAATGTACTATGTTCTATAACATGCAATATTATCGCAATTTGTTATAATTTCCATAACAAGGATTTAAAGAACAATGTTTTCTTTAAGATAATGTAATACAAATGCAAAAATTTTAGCAAAAGTATTTATTTTTCTCATATAGAAAAAGTAAAATTTATACAAAACTTCATCGCTTTTGGTGCGGGAACTTTTTTTTAACGATCGCGAATAAATAATATCATATTTCTTAACATCTGTTTACGCCCTACCCTACAAGCTCTTGCTATGGTATTTTTGATATTTGCAAAAATTGCAATAAGTCATAACCCTAATGTACATATTAGTACACTTACGAACATTTTCTTATTTATTGGACAATTAAAGTTTAGAGTAATAGCAGTAATTTACTAAGGAAAAAGTAACAAGTTTTAAAGATTCAATTAAGGCTCAAATTGTTAAAATTTTTCTATAATTTTTATACTTTTAAAATACAAAAATTTCATATTTTAAAAACACTGTCATACACAAAAATAACACAAAAAATAAGGAGGAGGACGAAGCAAAGGCCGAAGAAGAAAAGCAGCAAAAGGCTGAGGAAGAAATAAAAAAGAAGAAGACTGAAGAAGAAAAGAAAAAGAAGAAGGCTGAAGAGGATAAGAAAAAGGACGAAGAAGAAAAGAAAAAGGTCGAAGAAGAAAAGAAGAAGGTCGAAGAAAAAAAGAAGGCCGATGAAGAAAAGAAGAAGACCGAAGAAGAGGAAAAGAAGAAAAAGTCTGTGGAAGATGAAAAGAAAAAGATCGAAGTAGAAAAGAAAAAGGAAGAGGAAGAAAAGAAAAAGGTCGAAGAAGAAAAGAAAAAGAGCGTAGAGGATAAGAAAAAAGCTGACGAAAAGAAAAAGAAATCCGTTAGTAAACCAGAAGATATTGTTGACGGTACTGAAAACATTCCTGAAGAGGTAAGAAATATCAGGAATATAGTCCAATCAAGATGTTGCTTAAATAAACGAATGATGAAAGGCCTTTTTGCGAAATGGCAAAGAGAAGATAAATACTAATCATGAATTAATAAAATACAAATCCAAAAAGTTTTTATAATAAACACATCATATTATTAGTTATCAATACACATAAATATACATATGTACATATTAAGATCACTAGTTTTTTTTCCTTTTTATTGCATTTTATTTTTTCTTTAACGCTTTCTTGCTAACGTCTTTTCTGCTTTCAACATATATTCTACAGCTTTTAATAACTTTATACGCTTACGTATAAATTTGGCAAAATAAAATTCTTAAGCATAGTAATCGTTATTTAAACAGAAATCTGTTTACATCGGACATAATTCTGACAGAATGAAATATAACAGAGAACTATGCCTAAGACGGTACATTTATTCTGTTAAATTTATGCAATTATAATAAATTTTAAAAGCACAACCAATGTTGCAAAATTTGTTAAATTTTTTTCAACTTTTATAATGTTTTAATATGTCTCTCGTATTTTCTCATTTCCAAATTATAGAAAGAACTGTTTGAGCAAATCGGACTCAAAAAGACAGAACAACGTGTACAACAGCGCAAGGTATGTATACACGTATGTAGATATACAACAAAGATTGATAGTTTAATAATGTTAAATAATATACGATTATTAAGATAATTTAATGATTTTGAAGATATTACGCTCACACATTTCACATTCACACTAGAATGCTTCTTAGTATTTCATTAATTTAATGTCGTGATGAAATTATATTTTCCAAAATATGATATAAATCAAAATACAACACTTATTTAATTGATCACTATTAATAACAAAAATTCTTTATAGATGAGCTTTCACATCCATTCCAAAAAAGTTATATTTTTTATACTTTTATATTCTGTTCTAATAGAAGTTACAATTAAAAATCGAGCATTCTAGTAAACACATACATACATATTTCCTTTTGTCTCTGTAAATCTGTTTAAATCCTTAATTGTTTTCATGTTAATGTTTTCATTGGCGTATTTGTGCTTGTTTAAAAAATAGACAAGTGTTTCATCTGTTCAAGAGGAAACTAAAGAGACCCGTCGCAAGTCTATAATAAGTACCCACGATGAGTCTACAGTATCATCCCGTCGTTCATCCGTAGCGGTAAGTAAACCGATAAATTGTATTTTATAAGTATTTTCAGACTAAAGTTTTTACAAAAATATGAGTTTTATGTAATAAATTATAAAGACCAATCAATATAAAAATGTGTTGTGTCCCTGTGCTAAAAGTACGAAATTGTTTTCATATTCCTTTAAAAATGTTTTGTATTTAGATTGAAGAAACCAAGACTGAATCTCGCCGCTCTTCTATCATTGAGAAGAAAGCCTTAGAGGTTAGTATACTACAATTTTTCATCGTTGGTTTTCAAGTCTGTTCATAAAATTAATTATAATATTTATGTGTATTACAATCTATAGCAAGGTGAAAATAAGACCTTACAAGCTAATAAAGCACCTCAAGAGATTAAAGAGGAAATACCCAAACTTAAACCCGCCGAAAAAAGACGTGTTTCGAAGGTAAACAAATCTATCTATCTACATTCAAGCAAAAAAGTGCAACGCAAAGTATTCTTCTTTCTTCATTACTTCGCATACTCTTGCTATTTATCTCTGTGTCTCTTTTGTTTTTTGTAAAAAGCTGATTCTTCAAAGGTGTAGAAATACAACTCCGGATACCGGGATAAATTTTCTTTTGTGAAAATTGCATCCACGGAATCCGAACAAACTTCTAATATATGTATTTCTGACATTCTTTCTCTCCCTGTTCTATCTCTTACACATTTATTATGGTTTTCATTTTGATTAAAAATATTAATTTACATATAATTTTATTGGTAATAAATGATTTTATACCTAATATATAAATATTTCAACTAAATTCGCTAACCGCTAGGTTGTATTTCTACACTTATATTTTATATACATATGTACATTAGGGATATAACTAATTTGGCGAAATTTTTGGTATACCACGACGAGATGGCCAGTGTGGTATAAGTAATGAAAATAATTTTTGTATGTCATTTGGAATCAAAAACATCACGCACCGACCCCAATTCTAATATAAACCAATTTTTTACAATTTTTTATTTTAAAATTAAAATATTTATGTATGGGCATTTTCACCGAAAAAAATACTTTTGTCACATCACAACTCGTTCCTGCCTATATCTCAGGACATTTTGATTTTCTCTAAGTTTTGGATTCCGAAGATATATGGAGCCTTCAAAAAACTGATTTTAAAAAACTGACGGAGAGACATTTGGTGCGTGAACTTTTTTAACAACCGCGAAAAAAATAATAATATAGTTTCTCATATTTTTTAATACTCTATTCGACTCGTTCCTGCCTATATCTCAGGACATTTTGATTTTCTCTAAGTTTTGGATTCCGAAGATATATGGAGCCTTCAAAAAACTGATTTTAAAAACATGACGGAGAGACATTTGGTGCGTGAACTTTTTTAACAATAATAATATAGTTTCTCATATGCCAACTTAAATATTTGCAAAAATTGTCAATCGTTATATCCCTAATGTACATACAATAGATTACTGTCTAAAACTAACTGGTACACAATTTTAGACAAATCTGATAACGGAAACCCGTGCCGGAAATCGATTGAAAAGTGTAAAATTAAGAAATAATTGGACTTTTAGTTTCTTCAAAAATTTTGTCATTAAAATAACATTTTCTCAACATTTCCATCAAATCATGTCTTCTTGAGAAATTATTAGAGAAGGTGTAAAATATTAATATCGTGCGACAAATAGCAAAGTTATAGGCATTTTTCTTTCACAAATACATATGTAGCAAATACGACTAATTACCCTACAGTACAAAAGGTGCCAATTTGCACCTTTCACTAGTTATATTACCGCATTTCCAATTAACTACTTACCTCTTGTAAATTAAGTGGTCGATATTTTGCCTAAACGATCACTACACTTTACCATTGTAATCAATAATAAATATATATATTCTGTCTGTCTGTTGAAAACACGATAGAGTCCGAACGGAATGAGCTAGAGGGTTGAAATTTTCCAGAAATATTCTCTATAGGTTTGCTTGGTATTGAAAATTGGCTATATTGGTCCACGTTTTCGGATAGCCTCCATACAAGTGGACCCCCGAAAAACTGCCTTAACGGGCATATATGTTTTAAAAGTGTAACTATAGCGATGAAATTCAACATAAATATGTTTTATATGAGCCAAAAACTCCCTGCCAAATTTTATGAGGATCGGTCCATAATTGACCCTACACCCCATATAAGATCCCCAGCATGACTTTAACGCTTATTACTGGCTTAAAAATACGAGTATAGCGATGAAATTTGACATAAGTAAGTTTCTTTCAAGCCAAAACCTCTCTACCAAATTCTATGTATGTACAAGGTTCTCTTCAGAAAATTAGTTTAACGCTCATTACTGGCTTAAAAATACGATTACAGCGATGAAATTTGACATAAGCAAATCTCTTATAAACCAAAATCTCTCCACCGAATTTTATGTGGATCGGTCCATAATTGACACTATCCCTTCAGAAAATTACTCTAACGTCATTTCTGGCCTAGAAATAAGAGTATTGAGATGAAATTCGACATAAGTAGGTTTCTTATGTGCCAAAACCTCTCTACTGACTTTTATGGGAATCGGCGTATGATTGATCCCCATATAAGCTCCCCTTCGGAAAATGACATTAAAGTTCATTATTGGCTTAAAAATACGAGTAAAGCGATGGAATTCGATACACATACGTTTTATAGGAGTTAAGATCTCTCTACCAAATTTGGTGCAGATCGGTCCACAATTGACCCTACCCCCATATACAAGGGGACCTCAGAAAATTACTTTAACGGCATAAAAATACGTGAATATTTATGAAATTTGATATACGAAACGTTTATAGAAACTTAAATCTTCCTACCGAATTTCATGCGGAAAGTTCGGTAAAATGCGATTATATGAACCAAAATCGGTCTAAAAAATTTTATGAAAAACGATCTGTTAATTTGATGAGTGATCATGATGTTAGGGGAGCATTCCTTTTATGGCATACGGTTTGATGGTGGGTATATGCAGGACTGCCAGATAAATTTGTAGAAATATCGGCAATTTTTTCCTAAAATATCGGTATATGTCGGCACTTACATTTTAAAAATCGGCAATTGAAAAAAAAACACAATTTAGAATTTGTATCCCTTTTGCAGAAAAATGTTAATTTATAATTATTTGTTGAATACTATCCTGTAATTTTGGTAATGAGTGTAGTTATTTCATACATTACTTGGCAAGGTGGTCGTTATCAACAACATTAATAATTTTGTTTCAATAGGATTTGTAACCAATTGTCTAGACATATGTCTAATAAGGAATTAGTAAGTGGTTCTAGTCCTAATCGATATTAGAAGTTTTTTGTAAAAATTTAGTTTTTTACAGTATTTTTAAAACCATTCCAAATAGTATGATAAAATATCTTATTGATGGGGCATTGAGTAAGAGAAAAGACTAATAAACACAGAAAATAACTGTAAAGCCGGTTTTAAATCCGGGAATGTTGTGAAAGCACATTTGTAATCAATTATTTTCTTTTTTTTTCGTCGAACAAAAACCGGGTAAGTGTTCTGAATTAGCTTTTCCACAAAATGTGTAAATTTATTTTCGAACCTTAAAAATTTAAAAAAATTAGCTTGCTTAGGATTTTCATGCATAAATTGTGTTTCCTTTTTATAATATACATAAGTACATCTCGATCCAATTGAAATTGCTGATGTAGCAAATTGTGTTTTACTGTAATGTAAATTTTATTTTCCCAATTTGTTTAAAAGCTCCATGTCGTTTTTGCTTAAGTGAAGTTTAGTTTTGACAATAAATTCGTTAGAATTGCAATCATTAAATCATTAATATAACATTAAAATCATTAAATATAACAAATTTACAATATTTTTGAATAATGTATGAGTAAAAAATCGGCATTTTTGAAGCAAAAATCGGGAAATCGGCACTTTACTATTTTAAGGGTAAAATATCAGCAAAATACCGATAAATCGGCAAATCTGGCAGGCCTGGGTACATGAGATTCGGCACAGCCGAATATAATACTCTTACTTGTTGTTTACATCAAAAAGACCAAACAAACAATGCAAAAACTTTATTTTTCTACGTACATGTACATATATGGCTTGGGAAATTCTCAATAACTTAGTTGTTTGTCCTTTGATATAAATGTTTTATATTTCGTTGGATAGACAATTATCTCTAGAAGATAAGATTCGATCAAAAGACTAAGAAAAGATAATCTTAGTGGTACAAGTTTTGAAGAAATCAAACAAAGTCCTATTATTTACCCAATTTGACACTTTTCTATCGATTTCCGGCGCGGGTTCCCGTTATCCGATGGGACTAAAATTTAGCACCAGACAGTGAACAAAATAACCAAATGCAAACAAAATCGATATCTTTGGGTACATATCGCTCGTTTACTACAAGACTGGTCCATTTAAAAATTGGGAGAATATGGGCCGTTTTTTAGCCTTTTATATTATTTTCGGTGTTAGGGTATTTATTTGTTATAAACGTCAAAGCCGTTTTTGATTATGCCAATCTTATAGTAAATGAGCGATATATACATACTTAAGTATTTACTTCTTCTTATAATTTTTTTCTTTTCAATCCTATAATTCTGTTTATCAAGGTGGCCCAAAATGGTGTGATTAATATAACTCTTATATTTAGATCGTTTTATTATGTCGGAGGACAAAAAAACGGTTTTCAAAAAATGTATTTTCTAAAAAACCGGTATCGAATTTGTTTTTAATTATTAAAACCGATTAACTGACTTTTTATTAATGGTAATTTTATCGGCAAAAATCATAAAATAAATTTTCTAAATATAACATATAACACTAGTTTACAACGATATAAAATGATGTAAAACCTAAATGGATTTCCTTATTTTGGCCGTCTAAGTCCAGAAAAAAATATTTTGAAAAAAAAATTTGGAACGTAATTTTTTGAATTATTCGTATAGAAAGGAAATGCTAAAAAGAATTAAATTAGGAGGAAAAAATTTAATAGTCAGAGTTGTTATCTTTTATATAAAAAATGTTACTGGTCTTCCTCACATTACTATGGATTCCTGTCACAAAAATATTAAAAATTACATTGCAATAATCTTAAATCTTGGTGAATAGATGCTATTTTTATCACTCACACTTCCAAGAATTTTTCGGAAAAAGTATAAATTGTAATGTAAGAAATGAGCTATGAGGTATAAATTCAGATCCGTATGTTTCAATTCAATAATAAAATGTCAATAATATTTTCGAAATTTATTATTTTTTTAATTTTTAGAAAGATTGACTTACTAAAAATCGGGCCAAAAAGAAAGAAATCTGGTAAAAAGTGGGCATAATGAAGACCTAAATTTTATATAATTGAATTTTTTGTCTGAATCGATTTTAAGATTCACAAAATCGATGCAAACACCCAATAATCAATTCTCATTTCCAAATATTTGTCCGGCACTACTGAAGGAAGATGGTAAATAAAAACCACTTTATTCAAAATTTCGACGTATATGAAAAAAAATCGCTTTACTTTAAAAAAATATTTGAGAAAAAATTTAAACTTATGAAGAATTCTTGAAATGTTATTTAACGAGCCTTAAATCAACTTCTTAATAAAGAAAAAATGGCGTGTGCAGAAAAAAAGGCTGAGTACGTTTGGGCTTTTAAAGTTCTCAATCTTTCTAAAAGTGAAGAATTTGTAGAAAGAAAAACCATCCTGTTAACAAAAATCAAAAAGAAAATATTTTGTAGTAAAATTAACATAAAATCTACATAAAAGTTTTTCTCAAAATTTAAAGAAAATGTCATGCATAAAAACCTGGTTAGCCAACATAAAACCGATCGGTTTTCAAAAAAAAACCTGTTAATCGGTTTCATTTTTTGAATACTTTAATATGAAATCAATAATAATGTGATTACTGTATGGCATATCTTACCAGTCGTTATGCTCGAAAATATACGTATGTACATTAGGGCGTCCCGTGGACCACTTTTTTACGACAAAAAAAAAAAAAAAATTTTTTTTGAAAAGGTCCTCAGTTCCCTACCTGCGATTGAAAATCTTGATCTCAGTATAATATGTTAAAAAAAAAATTATGCAATCCTTTCTAAATGGTTGTCAAAAATTTCGTAATTTTGAGCTTATCCCGGAAAAACAAATAAAAATTTTTGTTAGTGTATTTCTGGTCTGCAAAACAACTTTTAGTGTATTATAAGGGGCATATATTTTCAATATAATATTTTTGGTCCACAAAATGATTTTAAGTGGGTTGAAGAGGCATATTGTTTTCGCTTTTAATCGAAATGTCAAAATAGTTGTAATTTTTAGCTCATACAGAAAAATATTTAAAAAATAGTTTGACATTTGGTTTAGTCCACTTCAGAATTTTTTGAAATTTATATGCCTCTTATAACACAATAAAAGTCGTTTTGCAGACCAGAAATACATTAACAAAAATTTTAACTATTTTTACCGCGACAAGCTCAAAGTTACGGAATTTTTGACATCCAATTCGAAAAGATTGCAAAATTTGTTTCTTCAACATATTGTACTGAGATCAAGATTTACAATCGCACGTAGGGAACTGAGGGAACTTATCAAAAAAATAGTTTTTTAATTTTCTCGTATTTAGTACATTGAAACGCATCGTTTTAGAGATATTCATCCTAAAAAGTGTCCAATTACAATCGGCGTTGTATGTCATATTTTTTATTATCAAAACAAAAACAAATTAATAATAAAAAATACGACATACAACGATACGACAACGATTGTGAATTGGGTAATAGCACGTATGTAAATGTTATAAAACAATTTTATGAAGGGCGTTCTATATAACTCGAAGTTATAATATCTCATGATGATTTTGGACCACCTTGGGTTATTTTCAAGGCTTACAACTGTTTCTTTGCTCTATTTTGCATTTCGTTGCTAATAAAATTCTCTGTTTTTGCTTCCAATGTATATGTATGTATATTATGGTGGTCAAATTTATATTAAATAAAAATAATGCCATGATGTTTCCACCTAAGTTTAGGTAGGCTAATTTTCAAAATTATTGTCTTCATGAACTCAAATAAATTAAAAATTTGTTTATAGTATTTTATGAAATTTTTTAATACCTTCCAGTAAACAGATCCAAAGTCCTCAAAAATTAATATTCATATTCTTTGATTTATCTCATCAAAAACTAAAAAAAAAATTGGAGTAACTGTATCTCGGAATTAATGTAATACATATTTTAGATGAAAACGTTCATGAACCATCATAATCTACATAAGTTTGGTACGTTAATATTGGGCAAATAATGATAATTTTCATTCATTATTTGCTAAATCTGAACGTATATTATTTTTATTCTCTCTCTTTCTCTATCGCTCTGTCTTCTTTATTTGTTTGTCATTTATTTGTTTATTGAATTTAAAAAAAGTTTAGCAAATTCATGTATTTATTTATATATTGAGTATGTGAGAAAATTAGTTAATTTTATTAATTTTATAAGTTTTTTATAAGTTATATTTGTTATAACTCTATTGTCACCTTTATAAATTAGCCTTGAAAGATCCACATAAATAAAAAAATAATGAATTCGCTGCAATATTCTATTTATATCTATATTTATCGCGCTTTCTTTTCGCTTTATTGTATATGTTTAATCATTAATATCGAAAAGGAAATTAAACAACTTTGTCTGTGAAAATAATTAATGTTGAAATAATCTATGCATGTCTGTATGTAACCGTTGATGAATTTGTCTGTCTACATGTCTGTACAGGTCATTGAAGAGCCTAAACCAGCTGAAGAACTGCCTAAATTGCGCAAGACTTCGATAGCTCAACCAAAGGAAGAACCAAAACCAGAAGCAGCTAAGCCTAAAGCAAAGGCTAAGCCAAAACCAAAATCGAAATATGAAGAACTGCCTGAAATACCGGATTATGAAAGACCCGTATTGGAGAAATTCGAAAAACCTGAATTTGAAGCCAGTGACTTTACTCGAGCATCAGAAATTCCAAATAAAATGGAAAAACCCGTCTTCGATACAGCCAAGCCGGAGCCACAGCAGGCTGTACAAAAGAATGGCCTACCCAAGGTAATACATATTACCGTCTTTTAGGAACAGAGATCAAAAATAACACTGCGGTTAAACATTCTGTCATAAACAATTAATAGTATTTTTAATGGTTTTAGAGGAAATTTTGTGTGGAAAAAGTGCCGCAACCAGAAATTATTGTTTTGGTACGACTTAAGAAATTTCTACCACTTGAAAAGCTCGACAAATTATTTTCGTTCTCTGTTTAAAACACTAATTGAAAATTTTTGTTGCATTTCATATTGCCTCTTATATGTTATATGTTTCTTTATTTATTTTCACTATGTCTTCATTTTGTTTTTTATGTTCCCCCATATTTTAAATATTAACAGAAAGAAGCCGCTGTCGAAAAACCTGCTGATGAGCCTAAAGGCTTTAAAGTTGGTAAAGGTAAACTTCCTGAAGAAAGTAATGACAAGGATTCTGCTACTTTGCGTCCTGTAATCATTGAACCAGAGGTAAGTAACATATTCAAAAGAAAAGTAGACAATATAAAAAATGTTAAAAAACTCTTAATCAACCTACATATGTACATTATGTGCATTAAACGTATAATACCTTTCATTCTTTATTTTCATTCTTTTTGTTTACTCTCCATGTCTTCTTTCTTTGTATTTTTTACTTATGCGTATTATGTATGGTTTCATTTTCCTGAACACATTACAAAAAATACTTAAAATAAACAAAATGTGAATGTGTGTAGAAAAAAGCTGCTGAAGTTGCCGTCGAAAAACCAGCAGAGGTAAGTTTGAATCTTTATTGCTATGGATCAAGGAATAGTACATAAATATGAATGTATATGCATTGATTCGCGTATGTAGTAGCGAATGAGAATTCATGAATTTAGTACGAAATCACAAAAATTCCCTATTGCTTCCACTTTATATTTATCACAATACTATTAACACCACCATTTTGAAATTTTAACTTTTAAATACATATTTTCGACAACTAACAGAACATAAATAACGACAAACGTCAGTCAATATCGGAACTAATTAAACAGAGACGTCGTTCATCTGTACGTGCTCTAATGACCAAAGAACCCATACAGAAGGAAAGTTTTCTGGGTGTTATCCTTAAACCAGTCGTTAGAGATCAAAAAGAGTGTGAGGCTCCTCAACAAGCCAAACAATTGTTGAAGGTACTTAATGAAAGTAAAATAAAAATGCTGCAAAACTGTCATCTTCTCTTAAATAAAATTCTTTTTGATTTTAATACTATTTGCTACAACTCCTTTTAAATGATATTGATGCTACTCTCTTACTCTTATTGTTTCTTCTCTCTCTACTTTTTTCTGGACTACTATACTTTTTTAACCAGATATCTGCTGTATTAAATAGAAATCGAGACTACGGAACAGTATATGTTTGATTTTTACAAAATTATAAATAGTTTATTTTCTATTGAAGATTATTTAAAGCTCTATCAATAGTTTTTTATTTTACCGCCTAAACTTGTATTTTTAACGTAAGGAAGACAAAATTATGTTAGAACTGAAAAAAATAAACAGATCAACAATGATATACATATATTTACTACGCGTAATCGCGATTTAGAACATTTAAGCTCTATCTAAAAAATATTTTGCTAAAGATCAGCTTGAAATTTCAAAGTTAACGGTGACACGGCTGTAATTCTCTTTATTTTTCTCTTTGTAACTTTTATAATTTTCTTTATTTTAAACTACTTTCAAACTTTTTTAAAAAAGCTATCAAAATTAAAACTTTCTTCTACGCTAAAAATTTAAATTAAACGCAAAGCCTGTTGCGCTGAATTTGCTGGAATTTGTGTATGTTTATTTTATTATTTATGTGAAATTTTCTTAAAAGGAAACTGTTCAAATGGAATTTAATCCAAGCAAAGCTTCAAAGGCCCAAATATCCCACTTAAAGAAGTCAGAAGGTTTGCCAGAAATTCACGACAATTACCAACGTCCAATATTAGAAAAATATGAAAAACCCGAATTTGAAAAATCCCTAAAAGAAAAACCCGTACCCGAAATTAAAACTCCCGCGGAGCCATCAGGCCAAATAGTGGCTAACGATGAAAACAAATCGCCCATTATTAAAGTTCCTATGGAACAAGTGGCTCCAGATGTTAAGGTAAGATGTTATCTTCGGTACACCTCGCTTTACCTTTATCGCTTACTTATCTGGAATTTTAAATCGCCGATTATTTCACAAAATTTTCAATTAAAAAGTAATTCTTACTTTAATGGTTTGAATATGAACTGTTGGCATAGAAACACACTGCTTAAATAGTAATATTTCACCATTTACAACGCGTAATCTCTGTTTTAGCTTGGTTTTGGAAAAAATATTTATATTAATTAACAAGCTTTTAAAAAATAGCGTAGACTATAGTTGTCAGTAAAAGTCTTTCTTCGCTGGAGAAAATTGAACGTGTTCCTTTTAGTGGGCACCAAATTCTTAATACAGGCTCCATTAGCCTAAATATTTTTTTTTTAATTTTTGTTGAATCTACAACATATTTTACCAGTTCATTTTTCTGTGGATAATTTTTGAAACAGCCAGAAAAATAATCGACAATTTCAATGTTGTTTTTGTAAATCTAGTTGTTGAATTGTTATCACAATCTAATCAGTGCGCCCAGCAATATACATACCTTCGACAAGGCAAAGTAGAGTTCTTTTCACTTAAATTTTAACCGTGACGCAATATAAATATCAAATATATAACGTATTCTTCTTCATACCCTACACCACTTTAGTGGGAAAGGTATATTTGTTTTGTGCTGATGTGTGTGATACACAAAAATAGTGGTCATATACCTACCTTAAAGAATAACAATTGCTTGGAATAATTTTCTGATTTAATTAAGTCATGTAAACCTTGTTATCTAAGTACAAGTCGCAATTTTTAAAATAATTTGATGTTTATTTCAGACCAAGGACCAAGCTTATAGAAAATGATTAAAATCACTTCATTATTTTTTTTAAATGTTATAGTATGTCTACCAAAAACGCCAAAACATATTTTATGTAAACCTTAATACTTCGATATAAGTATTTATATAAAAAATATAAATAAACAAATTTCCCTCAGAAATTGGCTTAATATAAGTTTCTTTTCACGCCGCTGCCATATACATATAAAAACAAGTACATAAATATAGTCAGTCATGGCCGACCATATGAAACCCTACACCAAATATGAATATTAAATGTGATTTATTATTCATATGTTGAATTTTACCTTTGTTCCGATATGTTTAAGTAATTTATTGACGAAAAACAAATTTTCTGCAAAATTCTTTATATGGGGGCTAAAGGCATATATGGACCAATTTCGATAAAATTAGGTGGAGAGATTTATATTTACTTAGTATTTATTTGTGCGTGAATTGTGGGCCTATTTTGCGAAGGGGCCTTTTTATGGAAATGAAGCCTGATCATTACGAAATTCAGCAATGTAATTAAGGTTTGTATAAAATATTGTTGTTGTGTCGCTTTTTAGCGAGATACAAGTATATTTAACATAATTATGAGCTCAAAAATTTAGCGATTTTAACCATTTTTAATAGGTTTCGTCCAAATTTACCAAATTATCTTAAAAACTACAACCTGTAGAGTGTGCACAAGGTTTACATGGGTACACGATTCTGATACCCTTCCCACTATAGTGGTGTAGGGTATAAATATAATGAGTTTTTCATTTCCTGTATTTCGACTTAACTTTTAACTTCACCTTGCAATAAATTCGCGTTAACCCTTTTTTATACCCTATACCACTATAGTGGGTATTATGCGTTTGTGATTTTTTATCTTTGATTATACACTGCTCCAAAAAGTTCTGAGTCTTTATAATAACTATTGGCGCCCGATCCGTTTTACATATCCTTGCTTGGACATGTGGGCTCTCCACGTAAAGATTAAAACAATCGGTTCGGTGGTTTAAGACTTAAATTTAATAAATACTACGATATGTGCCTCGTAAGAAACATATTTTTAGTAGACTATGTATTATTAAAAGGTGAAAGTATCATGTTGAGGGTGATTTAAATAATCAAAGTTTATTGGTACATAATAACAAATTTGGCGGAAAGCTGTTAATTCGATGTTGTATTTATTTAAATACTTAAGTTTATATATTAATAAGAATATATATACATAAATTTATATTTAGTATACATATATTCTTTACAGATAAAATAAAAAATATAAAAATAAAAAAAGAAACATTTATGACAATAATTTGATGTATATATGTATGTATCTTAATATATTTATAGTTCTTCAAAAATTTTATAAAAATGTTTACATATTTTCACCTTTTTTGTGAGAATATCTTTAGAGAATTTAGGTACTGACTGGTTTTTTATGTTTAATATTGTTTTTGTTAGAATTTTTGTCATATTGTCATTTTATTTTGGGCATTTTGACGATTTTGTCTTCAGTTTTTTGCTGTTTCAGCAACAGCACGGGCCGTGTCACTTTGTTTATTTTTCATTCATCTTCCTTCTTTGTTTATTAAAAAATTACTTGCTGACAAGTGTTAATTATTAGACATACAAATTAATAAAGCGTGACGAAAACATCCTGGCGCTTAAAAGTTCACTTTGTCAACGTGGATTTATAGTGGAAAATATTGCTGCGTGTTAAAAAATTAAATATTGAATAATGTCAATTATAATAAATATTAGATAAATCATATTGTTTTGTTTATTAAAGGCAAATAACGTATCAATATGGCTACAATTAAAATAACGCCAGCGGTGTGTATTATGTTAACAAATTTGCTGTGAAAATAATTTTTAATCTCTAAAAATGTAAACAATTTATAAGACATACATATGTACACCAGCAGTGAACAATCACCAACAATTTTATTTTCTATCCAAATAGAAAATTGGCGAAAAAATTAGGACTAACATCAGTATTAAATTAATTACTCACTTCAAGTCTTGATCAAGTTTTATTTAGTTCGAAAAAAATTAATTAAAATTGTTTTATTCGAGTGATTGAATAATTTTTACAATTTCCTAGATTATTCAATTAATTTCTAAAGTATGTATTTAAACAAAGTTCACGATTTAAGACTCTACAAAAATAAAAAAGTGTTTTGAAACCGGAGTTCTATTCTTAATCGATAGACAAGATAGTTTTCAATGGTACCCATATAACCATAACTAGTGATATACATATATACATATTAATATTTTTCTTTAAACTGAAAAAACATATTTTCGCGATATTCATTCGACTGACAAACCTAGTAAATGAGCGCTGAAGTCAAACGTTTTTCAAATTCTAGGTAGTTGACTAGCCAATTGTATGTTATATAGTAGTAAATATATTTATTTTAAGCAAATATTGATATTTTTCTTCTCTTAGGAAATATGAGAACATTTTCAAGGTTTTTCAGTGCCAAAAGGGTATGTCTATACATATTAGAGTGGCCCCGTTTGTATGGAGGAAATATAAGGTGTTAATTTTCCCAACTAAAATTAAAGTTTAATTGATTCTAAGATACCATTTCTCAAATTGTTTGTCCTGGAGTCGAATTTGGTGAGCTGGATCAAAGGATAAAAAGATCCTATTTTGAGGTTTTTATGATTTTTTTAATTTTCCTTCCAAAGGAACGATATGAGTTTTTGGTATCATAAGAAAGGACTTTCAGTCTTCCAATTTCATATAAAATTTTTTTTTTAATAATAATCCTCAAAAAAGTTTACCGAAACGGTTTCCGTTTTTCAAAATTTAATCTACATCGAATTTTATTTGAATTTATCGAAGCCTATGTACGCTAGCAAAACATTGCAGAATAATGTAAACAAAAACATAGAACCCGTTATTTACAAATATATTTTAAAATGTTGAAATAAAATACAATACGAATATCGAGAAACTGAAAAAACCATTTTAGTGAAATAATATGTGGTTTATAATGTAATAATTTCAATTAATTACATTAAATATATGAAAAATCTAAAAATTGTGCGAAAAATTACAACATTTCTAATAAATTTGGAGTCGTATTCAAAATTGTGTTACGTCATTAAAATCGTCTCTCAAAGACCCTTCATATGATACTAAATTTGCATATGGTTTTTTTTGCCAGAAATATGAAAAAAGTAAAGAAAAAATAAGTTAGAGTGCTATATTCGGCTATGCCGAAACTTTAATACCCTCCACCAGCAAGCTACTTTTTATTAAAACCCATTTAGCTATCTAATTTTTAGATAACTTAAAAAAATTTTTGTTTCCATAGTGAGGGTACTAACATTTATGCATATGTGGAACTAATTTTGATTAGGTTCATAAAACCTAATTTGCAAACATTTTAATATAATGATTTATCTATACACAAACATACGCATGTCGAATTTTATATGGATATAATCATTTAATAATGAATTAAGTGGTATTAAGTGATATTCTGAAGTAAAATTCCGTATAACGATTTATATATACAAAATACACATTTATGTCGAATTTTATCCCGATGACTTAGATTGACAATGTGCCTTTAAGTAATGGCAGTTATATATATGGCAGTTGTGACCAATTATGAACCGATCAAGAAAAGATTTCGTATAATGATTTATATGCAAAAAAAAAAAAAAAATCAAGTCTAAAATTACTCCAATAGATTTATTAATTAATAAAATATGTGCGTTTGAGTGGTTTTCGGAAGTGGACTTTATATAGGAGCTGTGACCAATTAAGGGCCTCTCCAGAAAAATTTCGTAGAGTGATTCATATGTATGTACACAAAACATATTTGTGTCGAATTTTGTCAACACAATTTTTGAATTTTATTTGACAAAGAAATATGTGAGTTTAAATGATTTTTGGAAGAGGGCATTATATGAGAGCTATGACCAATAATGGACCGATCCGGGGAAAAATTGGTAGAATGGTTTATATGTACACAAAACATATTCAAGTTGAATTTTATATCGATAGCTTTATTTATCAATGAAACATATGCGTTTAACTGATTTTCGGAAGTGGACCTTATATAGGAGCTATGACCAATTATGGTCCTTTCCGTAATTTCGTAGAATGATTCATATATAGACGAAACATATTTGTGTCGAATTTTATCAAGATACCTTTGTTTGACAATTAAATATGTGCATTAAGGTGATTTTCGGAAGTGGGCCTTATATGGGAGCTATGACCAATTGTGGACCGACTGAGATCTGCGTTGGTAGTATGATTACTATTCATATTATATTTATATGTACAAAATTTTGTGTTGATACCGATACATTTGAGGAGTTATTAACTGTAAACTAATTTCCGGGAATTATTGGCACAAAAAAATAATGTGTGAAAAAATTCATCGAAATATCTTTGGTAGTTTTTGAGACTCAGAATTTTACAAGGATCAAGAATATATATATATATACTTTTTGGGTTTTAGATGAATATTTTCTAGTGGTACACACGGAATGACAAAATTATACATTCCCTCTATCACCACTGATGGTGGTGGACAATATCTTTGGCATTAAAACGAAATCAAAAATTACCTTGTACTTAAAGGAATTTAAAAGCTATGGGCAATTATACAATTGGACAATTCTAACATATTTTTAAGTTTTCAAAGCGCTAACGGGACTCCGATCAAAAAGTCATTGATTTGACCTTCAAACCATAACATGTATTAGAAATTTCATTAAAATCGGAGATGGTAAATCCGTCCGTTTTGCTATGGATTCTCCCAGATTTTTAATAGCCTTGTTGATTACTAGAATTGAATTTGTATATCTGCAAAAAGTCATAAACCCTATGTGAGAAATGTCTGCTGGAACCCGAAAAAAATCATAAACAACGTAACACAACTCTGTGAACTGAACAAATAAATTTTCACAACAACATTATTCACTTTAATAAAGTGTGTAATAAACGGTGTAGGCTAAACATTGTCGGACATGCTATATTATAGTTTCATAATTATTACTTTTAGTTTACCTTTAAGAATTAACAATTAATTCATTAAAACGTTATATTTCTGTTTAATTTTTAAAGGATGATAAGCCCAAAATTCCTAAGGTGCAACCTCCAGCTCCTGGAGAGCCACCTAAAATTGAAGTCATTCGCGAGAAGAGGCCTTCATTAGCCCCTGAACCACAAAGTAGAAGAGGCTCATTGGTACCACCCGAAACTGGTCGTCGCCCGTCATTAATTATTAATGATGAGGTAAGTTTTATGTTCAAGTATAAATATTTTATTTTTTTATAAAAATTTATTTAATTATTTAAAATAATACATTGGTTTTGGTTTTAAAATTTATTAAGTTTTTATTGTTAAATACATATATATTTTTATTTTGAAATATGTAATCATTTAGTTTTAAATACACATAATATTATTCTTTTATGTTATATTAACATTGTTTCTTTTTTATGTCTTTGCAACTACATTTTTTGTTAATAATATTTACCGAAAATATACAAAAACATCAAACACACACAAACACACAATTATGAAAATCTCAAATCATACAAAACACCATCACCAACCAACCTACCAACCAATTGCCTGTACACCTGAATTTACATCCTTGTTGGCACATTCAAAACATTACACCTCAAAATCCCGACCCAATCCCCTTGCATCGATCCACTCCGATCTGCTCTAACATCATTACCAACAACAACAAACCAACAACAACAATTATTATTAAACAACAAACAAATCCTTTACTGTTCACAAATGATGAATGATTAAATGTATGTAGAAGAAACTACGTCCGGGAGAAGTTATGGACACAAGGGTAAGCATACTTATTATACTTTCTACAACTCTACTATAACACGATTATTACTATTATTCTTCTAAGTTACTTACCATTTCGGGAATGTAGCAGTTGATCATATTACGTTGAATAAGGAATCTCTCCATAAAAGTTCCTTTTGTAATCTAGCTCACGTTTAACTCAAATGTTAGAATACAAATGTGTATTAGAAATCGTTACAGAGAAACTGAAACATCTTATTGATATTAGGATATTTTTCAGTCGTTAAGATTATAGTACGAAATAATATTTGAACTCTTCAAATGTTATTAAATTGTTTAATAATATTGACAAGCTCTAACTTATAAAAAGCGACATCCTTCGATATACATTTACTCTATAGCAGTCGTCGAAATTAAATTAATATGAAATAGCTTTAATTAATGCGTATAATTAACACCAGAGGCACAACTACTGCGCTTTAGATTAATACCGCATTTACACTACAGCGAAATCTAGTAGATTAGATTTAAAATCTTGCTCAAAATCTAGATCGTTCACACTTCACTTTTTTGACATCGGCTAGATTTCTTTTAAAAATAAATCTTGTTTAACAGCAAAAAATAAAATATATAAAATATTTATTAGTATTTTGCTTATTGTACAGAATTCGGCATTTAAATATCACGTTATATTTTCCTTCAAAACATTTTTCTTTCATGTTTTCCGTTTTGTAGGAAATTTTCTTAAAAAATTAGTTTGTTTCCATTTTTTATTTGTTTTGTTTCAATTGTCATTGTTTCTTCTACAGCGTCGTATTTTTTAGTACTATTTGGCAAAAAAACAGAGTTGCATTTCTATTTTTACTAGATTTTGAGTAGATTTTGTTTTGTATGGGAAATCTAGTGAAAATTAACTGGATTTGCTCGAAATCTCTAAGTACTAGATTTCGCTGTAGTGTAAATGGGGTATAAATTGTGAATAAATAAAAATCTTTTTTTATCCTTCAATTTCACTACGTTTCTTCAAAAAAATAACATAAATTGCAGGAATTTTATAAAATTTAGATTTAGACTAATTGAAAATGGTATTAATGTTATGTAAAGGGCGTTTTGCAAGAAAACATTTATTTAATCTTTAAAAATTTTAAAACGACATATATTTACATTCTTGTTAACCTATATATGTCATTTTAAGTGTTTAAAAAATGCATTTCATATTTATATCTCGGAAATAGTCTATTACGGCAATTAGTTACAGATGTAATTATATTAACAAGAAACAAAAATCTCCTTAAGATACATTAACTTTCCCTATTTTTTTAAAATAAAAAATACATATTTTATTGCACATCTGTAACATATCACATACACAAAAACATATTTTCATACAACACACCCACCCCCACATATTTTATCCACTAAACTCTTTCACAAATGCACACACGTACACTTTTACAACACAATAAAAAAATACTAATTGTATAAATTAAAGATAGGGCTTGTTTCAATAATATAATATAATGTATAATAGCAAATATGATCTGATCACCAGAAATATATACATTATGTATAAATTTCTTATATTTTAAAAATGTTATACAAATAAAATTTAATTTCCGTTACGAGTTACTGCAACAAGCCCTTTAATTCTTTCCAAAAAATTTAGTCTCAAAAGGAACTATGGACTTTTGCCAAAGATAAACGTAAAATCGCATAATCGCAAATAAGTGGACCTGTTGTTTTTTCGGTTCATAATATTCAATAATTCGCCTTCTTTTGAATTTTACTTTGTCCAAAGTTCAAAGTTAATTTAATTGCGTATTAATTTTATTTCATTTATGTTTATTTATATGTATAAATTAATATTTAAGATATATAATGGAATTTATAAAATAATTAATGATTTGATGTATTAATGAAAATTGTCAATATTTAAATTAAACTATAATTTTATGAAATCATAAATTATATATTAGTGAAAAACGTTGAGATCATTGGTACACTTTGGGGGTCACACACAATTTAAAGAAATTTCACATGATATAAATACCTTATATCTTTCATTTGGCAGTAATACGAAATTAATATCATAAATATATCCTTTTTAATATTTCAATTCATTTAACCAAATATTGACGGAAATTTTTACATTACAAGGCATATAAAGGAATTGATAAAAACACATAGTACATACATATTTTATTAATTTTATCTAATTTTTGAACAGAAGAAATCATTGATTAAGAAAAATCTTAACCTAAAGATTTATTTTTATCACTACGTACATATGTATGTATAAACCAAATCGTGCCCTCTAATCTATTTTCACACAAAAGTACTATTTTTGAGAATAATGACAAATTGTTATATTGTTGAACTTTGCTTCTAAATACCTCTAGAATAATATTTTAAACGGTGCCACTCACCAACATTTAACCCTCCGTTAGGAATATATCATAAAACATAAGAAGTTATATTTTTAGAAGGGGACTGTTGTATAATACGCATACATAAATATTAATTGCAAATAATATTAAATGATTTAATAAAAAAATGTCTGGCCTTTAGCTGGGGTTTTATATACATTTTCCTTGGCAGGTGCATAATTAATTTTCTATTTATGCCTCTTTTTTAATTATTAATATACAGCTGGCGTTAAAAAAAAATAAAATTTTTGAAAATAAAACAAAATTAAATGAAATTATTAAAGCGCACAGTTAGTTTTCATTTGTCAAGCATAAAGTGCATTACATTTATAATATATGTACATATATATATATTTATATATGTATAAATTAATATATACATAGATATAAATAAAAAGTGAAGTGATTAAAAAATATTATTAAATATAATAAATAAAATAAAATGAAATAAATAAATTAAATAATAAATGAAATGTATATAATATATTGATATACACATTCTACAGTTTAGTAGGAATAAAGTACCATAAAAATTAAGCTATGCCTTAAGTTAATAAAATTGAAATACAATTTCTTTAAGAAAATAAATTTAAAAAAATAAACTACTACATCAAATCAAGGTATTACTTTCTGTATATATATATATATATATATATATATATATATATATATATATTATTTCTAATTCCATAATATACTTAAATATTTTATTGTTCATCTAAACCTGCACAACAAAAATAAATGTGTTAACAAATTTTATGTATATTTTGTTTGCAATTGCAAAATTTTCCAGTTATTGAGACCTGGAGAAGTTGGTGACGGACAGGTGAGAAACGATCAAATTCTCCAACAACAAATTGGCATTTTTTTTTTGCCCTAAAACTCAGTAGATAATAACTATTAAAGAACATATACTTACTTACTGGTCTTGATTAAATTAAAAAATCATAAAAATGATAAAGCTTTTGTTATCAAGAAAAAACCGATAAAACGTTTAAAAGCTTTACTCATGTAGTGCAAAGTTGGTTTAATTTGCATTTATTAATTTTCTTACAAAAATTTAACTAAAAATATTTAAAACGAATACATTTATTAATAATAATTTTATATATTTACTTTTAATTACACATATTAGTAGGTATTTTTTTTACAAAATAAGTATTCACCATTTGAAATAGTTTATGTTCGAATAAGGATAGCTTGCTGAAGCTTTTTAAATTCGGTATGTACAATGTACATATTTTATCTAATGTGTATGTATGTATGTATGTTTAGCTGTATGTATGTATGTATGTCGGTATGTATGTATGTATGTATGTATGTAGGTATGTATGTATGTATGTATGTTATGTATGTATGTCTGTATGTAATGTATGTATGTATGTATGTATGTATTATGTATGTTGTATGTATGTATGTATGTATGTATGTATGATGTATGTATCGCTATGATGTATGATGTATGTATATGTATGTATGTATGTATGTATGTATGTATGTATGTATGTATGTATGTATGTATGTATGTATGTATGTAGTTGTATGTATGTATGTATGTATGTATGTATGTATGTATGTATGTATGTAGGTATGTATGCTATGTATGTATGTATGATATGTATTGTATGTAATGTCTGTATGTATTGTATGTATGTATGTATGTATGTATTTTATAGTCTGTATGTATGTATGATTATTGTATGTATGTATGTATGTATGTTCTGTATGTATGAATGTATGTTTGAATTATTGCCCATTTCAGGCGGTGACTATATCTCTAATATTCAAAGGAACCGAGAATAAAATTAGCCATTACTTTATTAGTTAAGATTATTTATTTAATGGGTGGAAGTAAGACGAAATTATTATGTAATGTACAACAAAAATATGAAGTGGAAAAAGTCAGATTTCTATAATTTTACTAAAACTTTTTATTGCTGCAAAGCCGGTTAAATGACATTAAATTAAAAAAGCTAACGGAATTTTTAATACATTATTGGGAAAAATCTTTTTGATGTTAATAATCTAGGTAATCGTGTAGAGGGTTTATTGATTTTTCATTATGTATATCTATAATATTATTACTATTATTATTTTTATTATTATTATTATTAGTATTATTATTATTATTATTATTATTATTATTATTATTATTATTATTATTATTATTATTATTATTATTATTATTATTATTATTATTATTATTATTATTATTATTATTATTATTATTATTATTATTATATTATTATTATTATTATTATTATTATTATTATTATTATTATTATTATTATTATTATTATTATTATTATCAGAATTATTATTAACATATTTATTTAAAAACTATTTTCTTTTACTTTATTTTTATTTGGTGATTTATTAAAAAAAACACTCTAATCAGAAAAACAAACCACGTCCCGGCGAAATGGGTGATTCTAAACAGGTTCAAAATTTCTTTGAAATTGATTTTTTTATTAAAATCCTCTTAGTTTTAGAAACATTTATTAATTTTTTTTAATATAATATGTGCCAAAATATAACTTTGTCGCATTTTATTTGTAAATAATCCTTGGCTATTAAATAATGTATATAAAAGGTTTATTTCATATGATTTCATGTGTCCACGGGGAAACAACATGTTTCCTAAATGTACCACACAATAAGCAAATCATAGGGATTTATATCAAGTTCTCTGAATCTAAAATACAATGTAAATAACCATGTTATATTAATGTAAGGATAGCTTTGGCAAATGTTTTGTGTTAAGATGAAAACAAGTTTAGTAAATTAATTGTCTAATTCTATCGTTATACATACATACATATGTCACATTTTTTATTATAGGGTTTCCCACGAAACAAACCAATAATAAAAAAGTAAGAGTGCTACATTCGGCTGTGCCGAATATTATATACCCTTCACCATAGTGTTAAATTTAATATTTGATTCTTTAATTTTTCAAAAAAAAAAAAAACGCATTTCGTTCATAAATGCTTTCCCATCTCTATGACAAAGAAAAAATTCAAAACAACAAACACAAATACTATGTACATTGTTGTTGTTTCCAGCGCTTTATTTAAACAAGCAATCTGAAACAAGCACAATCTGAAATACTAATTTTTTAACGAAATATGCAGAGGTTCTCTCAGAGTTTTGCTCATATCTCCGTTATTTATGAACCGATTTTGCTGATTTTAAATAGGAAACTTCTCGAAAGCATGTCAGATAGAACTATTGAAGGCTGAGATCCGAAAGATATCTGAGGTCTTAAGAAAATTGATTTCAACACACAGACAGACAAGGCTTAATCGAATCCGGTATCTATAAAGATCCAAAATATATATATACTTTATAGGGTCGGAAAATTATATTGTAGAAATTACAAACGGAATGACAAACTTATATATACCCCTCTCATGAAGGTGAAGGGTATAAAAATATGACATATGTACAACAACAATATACATATGCACCGTATATTAACGTATAAAAGGAAAATTTATGTCGATAATATTGTAAATTTTCGGATCATAAATATATGTTGTACAGTTATCACATTTTAGAAACTACCCAACAAAAACTCGGGAATGGGTTATACTTCCATAGCCACCTACTTTTCTTTGACTACTACTTACCGTCTGCATTACTTAGAAGTACTCCAGTAATGACTTTCTTGTAATCTGATATAGAAGTGCTTTATTTTCGACTTTGTCATTTTGTACTTCTTGATCTCCCTATTTGTAACAAATAAAATCAATGGTATTTTTTTAAGAATATGAAATAAATTTATATATCATATTTTTTTAATTGCGAAAAATGGTACATTATTTTTTGATCTACGAAAACTTATCCCGCCTTATTACGAACTTCACTTATAACGAACAAGTTTGACTGTATATATTCTTAATATATGATATATGTTTAACATTGTTAAACTGGAAAAATTGCATATGCGTGGTTGCATAGTAACCACCTTCAACTTTTTCTCTGTTTGGGCTTACTGCATTTTATTTATAAACAAAATCTTTCACAAAAAATCAAATTCGGATTGTGCTGTTCTCTAATATATATTGTTTTAGTGTCCCAAAAAATTACTTGGAAAAATATGTTCCTATTTACATAGCATTGTTACGTATTTAATTCTACAAATATTTGCCATGTTTAACCACCTGCTTTAGTCCTTGTCATAAATAAATGTATATATACATATTTCATATTTTAATAATAAATCTGTGTTAATAGTGTCATCACCATATCTTTAATGTCATCAGCATAACTTTAGCCCGCGCGATGACCAAGTTGCCAACAATATTCATGTTAAAAATCGTCTACTACAAATAAAAATATTGAAACAAAATAGTTGTTTTAAATTAAATTTACATACATATTTTCCACTCAGAAAACACCCGAGTGGTCAGAAAATTTGTCAAAATCGTATCGTAGTATCGTGATGAAATTTTACACAAATTAATTTTATTTTCTAAAAAAATCAATCAATCCCCTTCTTCTGAAAATCATAAATGTCGTATTTATACATCGATATTGTTATAAGAATTGGATATATGCATGTATGTATGTATGATTTTAAGAATGCACATTGGTTCAAATCATCAGTTTTTCAGTGCGAAATTAGAACTGACAAAATAATGAAACTCTTTAAAGTCTTAGATGGAGCATAAGCATAAATAGGTATATTAGAACAAATTTAAGCGAAAATTAATTCTTTGGACGTTATTAACCCATTGTCTACAATTAAGAGGACTTATATAACACAACTTTTTTTTCATTTTGGAAGGACTTGTCGGACTCGCTAAAGTTTTTTAGAACTAATTTCTAGCGTGATGGTCTTTGCTTCCAAGCAGCGGTTGTTACTGCCTGAAATTATAAATCAGTTTTAATACATTTTTTTCTTCCTTCCTACTGCAATTTTCCATTTTGTTGCTAAAAAATTACGAAAATTCGCACCTATAAATACAGTAATTCCTTGCAAACACCATGGATAACAGGATGACAAAAACTCATGTCTGATAAGGACATCATCCTTTGCGTAGTCCTAGAAAATATTAAATTACTCAAAACGCGCAGAAATGTGCAATTTGAGGTAAAATGAAACTAATTCACAACATTTTAGGTTATTCATTTCTTCTTATTTCAGGTTTAACAAACGTTAACATTTTCTTAAAAGCTTTTATGAAGTTAAAATTTTAAAATCAAATTCAATTTTTTCAAGGTTATTTTAAATATTGTCTTTTCGAAGTGAAGGAATATTATTTCCAACCATTTACAAGAATATATATAAATTACTGACACCTCTAAGTGCTATCTATTTGACAGTTATTGAAGATTATTTACACACTTTCCAAAAATAACGTTTAAAAATAATGATAAAATATAGACTCCACAAAAGAAATTTTTTTAATATTTTTAAATGATGAATTTGAGTGCGTGCAGTAGAACTGTGTTTAGCATTTCGCAAAAATTTATTGCGAATTTTAATATATTGGTGTATTGGAAATGATATCAAAAAATAAATTAAATTCACTGTTCCAAAATTTTAATTTCGCACAGGAAAACTGGTAGTTTGAACTATAGTGGAATGGTTCGAAATTAAATCCACAGTCGCAAGATAAAATTTATAATAAAATAGTTTTAGTCATTGTTGATCATGACAATTTGGCGATCTGGATTTGTTTTATATCATATACAAATAGTACTGGGTAAACCAAGGTCATTGCTGGGTTAAAATTATTTTCGAAAACGACAATATATATTTAATTAGATTTATAAAAAACTATTTAATTTTTAATTATGTTATGTGTTTGTATGTATATATGTATATTTTTATACATTTATATTTGTATGTATGTAATAAATAGTATCAAGATTTGTGTGTAAGACTAGTATTCATTGAAATCCAGTGTTGCCAATAAATCCATTTTACAAAATAAATCCTTATTGACAGCATTATTATAAACATTCATTCATACATCATCTATTTACGTCATTAACAAAATCGTAAAAATCTTTTAAGACAAGATTTGTTTTTAGAAAAATTAATTTTCTTTCATAGCATTTAATTGTACTAATATCATATACATATGACATATGTATGTATATAAATCATATTTTATTCCATCATCTTTCTAACAACAAAATTCCCTTTGAAAAATTTTTTCTTGTTACTAAAAAAATCCATTCCAAATATTTAAATAAATGTAGAAATTGTAGTTAAAGTGTTTTGTAGAAAGTAGAAATGCTAAGTTTTGAATTGAATAACAGTTAAAATTTAACAATTTATGAACACTGTCATATAATAAGCTACACACAATACGAGAAAATGCTTTGCTGGGATTTTAAAATGTTATTTTGAAATATCAAAAATCGGAGATTTTTGTGAATTTATATGATACTCGTTGTAAAACTTCAGAATTTAAATTTAGTGATGGCTAAGTCATCAAGTATGACACCAATTCAAAATTCTCAAATTAAAAAAAAAAATACAATAATAATTTCACAAAACTGCTTCGATGAACTTTCCAATGCAAAGTATTTTGTAAAATGTAACTTTAATTTGATTTTTCAAAAGTTGTTGAATTGCGGCATTTTTTCTTGTTGATTTTATTTAACTTGTAGTTTTGTTTTTTTTCCTTCCCATTGAACATATTTTCAGTATTTCCCTTTTTATAACTTTTCAAAACTAATAATATTTTTTCGTTTTTTATGTTTGTTCTTCGCCAATCTTCGTCATTTATGTATATGTCTGTATACGTTGTGATAATGTTATGTGTACGTAAACAGAGACGTCGCACGTCCATCGATGTACGTCGTCCCAGTGTTCAGGATCTTGAAGATCTCATTAATAAGCCGTCAACTCCATTGCGCGATATCGGTGATGGCGGACCACCCACAATTATCGATGTACAGGAATCATATTCCGTTGTTGAAGGTAGGTTCATGCAAATGGTTCATTTTTGTATTAAACACTTTTCTATTATTTATCCTGTTGCTATCTTTATTTGTCTGTCTTTAAACTATCGTCTTTATTTTTCTGTGTCTCTATTTTATTATGTTTTCGTTCTAAAAATTAATAAAATATTATTAAAAAATACATTATCAAAATCATAAACAGATTCGACTGCCTACATGACAGTAGGAATAGAAGGTAATCCAGCACCAACGTTTAAATTCTACAAAGGTATTAGTGAAATCCTCGAAGGTGGTCGTTTCAAATTTTTGACCGATGGTCAAACAAATACCATTACATTATGTATGCGTAAATGTAAGCCTAATGATGAGGGAAAATATAAAGTTGTGGTATCAAATATACATGGCGAGGATTCAGCCGAAATGCAATTATTTGTATCTGATTCAAGCGGCATGGATTTCCGTGCCATGTTAAAGAAACGTCGTTATCAAAAATGGGACAAAGATCAAGAAGATCCCAATTGGGGTGAACTTAAAGAAACCGAAAAACCAATGCCTGCTCTTAAGAAAGTCGAAAGGGTAAGACATCTTTTATTAGGCGTAAAACAGAACAAACAAAATGGCTTATCTGCATATTATATAATATAAATAACTTGCTTTGATTCTTGATAAACATACATTATATTTATTTTCTGCCAATTTATTTTCAAATTTAAAACAAATGGAACATCGAACCAATGGATGAAACAAACCAATATTAACATAATTTTTGAGTATAAATACAAATTTCAAATATCTAATAAACGAGTTTGTATTTTTGCTCTTAACAACTAAACATTGTGGCAATTCCCTTACGTTTGGTGTTTTCTTTATATTATATTTAATACAACAAAAATATTTCATTGTGTCAATATCAAAGATTTCAGTTTCAAGAATTGATCACAAAAATTCGGAATGAAATTGACGTTTCTAAAATAAATCTAACATTTTGATTTTGTTTAATATAACACTTTTTTGTCAATATCTGAATATTTTGTTTATCTATAAATAATTCCTTTAAAACAATAAAATTAAAAATATTATTAAATAAAGCAAAATCATTTCAATACATGTAGCATCGGCTCATACCAATTTTTATAGTTTTTATAAAGAACAAAATACAAGTTATCAATTTCATACATACATTGCGGTGTCCAAGCCGCTGAACAAATTTCAGAGCCGTTGCTGCATGAATATTTGACAATTTATCCAGTTTCTCGCTGTACTTGAAATGAAAGAAAACACCGAACGGTGGCCATTCGGAACGCTCATTAACTACAAGACTGGCATAACTCAAAACTAAATTTTATTTGGCTTTCATATTGCTTTCTAAGTATATTTTTAAAAATGTCTGTTAATTTCGGTGTGAGAATATCAAAAAATCATGTCTTTCACAAATATTTAATAAGTAAAAATTTAATTAAAATTGATATATGAAACATTTTAATTACTACTATCTAAAGGCGGTTTAGTTTTCAAATTCCCTTATTGCATAAAATTTTTTTTAAAAAAATAATTAAATATCAAAACATTCGATGCAGTTTTTATAAAAACTATATTTTTTTAGTTATGCCATTCTATCTTGCTTCTTTTTATACTAATTAGTAATAAGTTATTTTTACAAGTATATTTAGTTATTTTATTTTAATTACAGTAATTATAATTACACAGGCCAACAAAATTTAAAAAAAAGTCGAAACCCAAAGACCAAGATATGCTTATCTACATAATTGAGTTGTGCTGAATCATAATCTGGGCTCAGAGTTTCTCCATTACCATTAGGTTTTCAAAATATCGGTTTCTTTATTTTGAAAAAAAAAAAATAATAGAACCCGATATCTCGGAAATATGATGTGATGGAGAAAATCTGATGCTAGATTTGAATTCAGCGCTGCTTAATTTGGGTTAAAAATTTGTTGGCCAGTGTTATCTTTTGTAAATATTTCCCAATTATATTATATTTTTTTAATTTCTACATTTAAACGGCATTTAAAATGTAAATAAAAACACATTTACTTTAACAATTAAAGCATAATATGTCGGAATTAGGTGAAGAATATGAGGTAGGCATAATACCTTTACAATTTTTATAAGCCGAAATATTATTTTTAAATTTCCCGTATTTCATTAGAATTTAGGTGATAAGTATCTATTTTGTTGCTTCCCCTTATTTTATCACATAAATACATATGATAACATGTTAGGGTGTGTCGAAAAAACACTTTTTTTCTCAAATCAGTTTCTATTATAAGAAATGTGCAAACCCAATTAGTCAATTATAAATATATTAACAAAATTACTTGAAGGATTTGAGAAAATTAAAGGGCGTAATAAAATACTACCAGAAACTGATTTGAACGAAAATATTGTTTCTTATCGATTCAGCTGAACATACATATGTACATATGTAGTATATGTATTACATTCATATAACTGTAGTTAAGAGTATATTTTTAATTAGTAGCAGTTCTACCGTATATTCAGCATAATTCCCCAGTACTTCAATTTAATTTTTTTAGAAATATATGTATGTGTTGTAATCAACCTAATGTAAAACATACAAGCACAATTACTCAATATGCACAAAATTTCTAACTAACATGATTTTTCAAATTAGAAATTAAAATTTATTAAAGTGGAAATACAACATTTTAAAACAGGATGTCAGTCAGGCAACTGCTTCCGTTATTAATACCGAATTAATAATATAGTGGTATAAATACCGTTATTATGCAGATGCCAAAAATGATAATTACCATAAAAGAGTTTAAATGTATATAATTATAATACCGGCATGTACACTGCTTAATATGTTTCGGTACCGAATAAACCGTAAAACAAAATGCAGAAAATTCAGTCCAGTTGTATTTCTACACTTATATAATTATTTTGTTTGATCCATATTTAATCATAGATACATAAGTAGTTTGTTATTTGTTCACTTATAAAGATTTAAAAGATGGAATGCCCGTACTAAAAATCCGGGTATTTTTAACTGAGTACTGCATTCTAAAGTCTTTAACTCTTTCACATATACGGGACACCGGTGTCCAAAGAGTTTTTTAATTTCTTGATTTTGAGCGTAATTTTGAGTTCACAGCTACAGTAAAAGCTTATTTCCAAAGAAAAATAAGTTATTTTTTAGAATTTAATGTCACTACATGCTAAAAAGGATAATATCCTGCGATATCCTTCGAAAACACTTTTTGCATTTTTCATCAAAAATGATCAATATACGTAAAAATAAAGTGTGTGGTGAAGTTTTTTGCGTGAAAAGGTTAATGTAGTTTTATCTATATCCTATTAAATCTATTATTTTCGTTGCAAGAGTGATTTGTTGAAGTAAACATCAAAACTTGAAACACCGGTTAACACGTATATTTCATAAGTAAAAATTTAGTTTAAATTCAGAAAATTCGACTTTTTTATAAATTAAAAAATGTCTAAAAGTCAACTTTTTGTAAATTAAAACAAAAGTTGATTTTTGTTTGGCAAATATTGTTTTTGTATTTTTGTAGTGAAAAATAGTATGCATAATTTTTATTTTATTATTTGTGTACGTGTGTTATAATTAACCAGATACGAAATTTCATATTGATAAATTTCGTTTTTAACAATTTTAATAAACACATTTTAAAGAAAGTAAATAATGTTGAAACAGAAAAAGAATTTTTTAGTAATAAACAATTTATGTCCATTTTTCTTTAAAATATGATTAGGCACCCACATCGCGTAGACCATCACTGGCTGAATTGATTCCAGATTGGCCAACACTACACCCATTTCGACGAGAAGAGGTTCGATCAGTTCAGTTAAACTGAATTCAGAAAATTCTGCTGATCATTTTATACTACCTTTGATTTTGAACATCTTACAGTTACTGTTTTTTCGCTCTTCTTCTCTCTTTCATTCTCTCTTTATATCTTTCAATTTCTCTGTTTACACTTTTTATCTCTGAATGTTTATTAAAGTTTTTATCTGTTGTCTATAATTAGAACTTTTTACTCTTATCGCAACATGGCCCCAATTGTTTTTTTGTCCATTTTTGTAATTTCAACGGGTCTGAATTTTTTATTTAAATGTACATACTATAATTATTAAATTGGATTTTACAGCGTTTTAAGGTGAACAGTTCATACTGTTTTTTTTTTTTTATAATTCTCTTATGTGTATGAATCTATTATGTACACGGCTCAACACGTATATTTTTTAATAACATAATTATTTGACATTAAACAGCAATTTGTTTTTGGTTACAAATTTATTTAGATTTTTTTTAAATTCATTATCAAGTAAGAGGGTCGATTATTCGACATTCTCAAATACCGAAAATTTCAACTCCATTTAAAATAATAATAATAATAGGCGAATCAAAAATATTTGTTATATATTTTAAAAATTTCAAAGAAAATTTCAAAAATTAATATTTTGCCCATTCCATAATGTTTTATTTCTTAACTAAAACGATAGTTTTGTAATTTAAACTCGTATTCATAGAACATTATTTATTCAAAGAATATTAAAAATTTAATCGGGTTTACGAGGTAACATTCAAGTAAACCTTAACGAAAACTCCTTAAACAAATTGCAGACAACTTAAAAGTTGTTGAGCTGTACCCTTGTTTCTTGGTACATTTAATTTTTTTCTATTTAATATAAGAATTTTTGAAAGTATGTGTAAATATATTTTTGTAAATTTATTGATGTAATCATTATTTTTTGATATATTTTTGATAATTTGTGTAATAAATAAAGCATGCATGTATTTTGTTTTTGTATTGAAATTGCTAACCTTTCATTACAAACCACCTCTATATTTATTTTTATTTAAAAATAAAAATAACGCTTTTTTAATAATATTACAAGCCAAAACCATTAGAAATAAAATCATATGCGATACATAGATAAATTTTGAATACTATCTTTCACTATTTCTAAGACTAATTTTTCAAAGTTTTATTTAACATGTATCATGTAACATGTATCGCATATGTGTATGAATATTTTTGTTTGTTATTATATAAAAAATGTAATGAGAAAGAAACAAACTCTTTTCCCATTTTTGACAACGCAAACCAAACTAAAAAATTTTCAATCTTTCTCTATATAAATTTCAATATGAATAAAATATTGAAAATAATAAAAACGTAAACATAAATGTCACCGTCTACGAAACCACCTTTTTCAAACTTCGCGACGCTGCCTAATTCCAAACTGTAGAAACAAGAGTCGTTCTTAAGTCCATTGATTGATCAGTTTGCAAAAGAAGGAAAGGATAAGAAGGTTGTTTTTGAAGCTCGTTTCAGCAAACCCAACTGTAAACCTAAATGGTTGTTCCGCAAGGATGTAAGTATTATTTTAATAATCTGCAAACTATAAATTTACACATTATACTTAAAAATAGTTGACAAAGAATAAAAAAAGGAAATTGTATTAAGGGTTATATTTTAGTTGCTGCCAGGACTCTTGTGTATACATGCATTTGTTTATCAATCTTTAAATTGTTGTTGTTTATTCCATAATACATATTTTTTACTTCTGATGAATTCAATAAAATCTCTTCACATTTTCAGATACCGAAAATACATAACTCGTTTTTTTTAGTTATAAAAAAATATTTCACTGTACAATAATAAGTCTAAATTTTTATTTAACTTCTATAAAAAATATACATTTATCTTTAGAATATCTTCACGAAAAATGTGTAGTAAAATTTGCTCAAATGACTCACATTTTCCATTTTTTAATTCCTGAATTCAGAAAAAATTTAAAGCTTATCTGAAAATCTGACAGGTCTTGCAGCACACGAGACAGATAAATTGAATAATAAATCGGTAAAAATGTTGGAATACATTGGTACTATACCCTTTAAAAATTTTCAAAAAATACTGCCTCAAACTTCGTATTAATACCCTTTCATTTAATATCCTTTTCAATACAGAGTTGTTTTTAAAATTATATAAATTAAGGATAAAATCATAAATTTCAAAAAAGGAATTTTAAGTTAAATTGTTCACATGATAATAAAAATATTTGAAATGAAAATATATGTAATGTTTGTTTTGTTTATAATTTAAAAAGGAATGCTTCCCCGGCAGTAAATTCAAATTCAAGAATGAAAATGATACATACCAACTGATTATTACCGCACCTAAAGTTGAAGATACAGGCAAGTATACTATTGAAATCGGCGGTGTTTCGAGTACGGCTTTCCTTAATGTGGAAGAAGCTGATCCTAGCTACACTTTCACTAAACCTCTGAAAAAGAAACTTGAAGGTTATACAGAACACGAAACAACGTTAGAATGTTCGGTTAGCAGCAGCATGGCCAATGTATCATGGTTTAAAGACGGCAAAAAGATCGAATCTGATGATCCTCGTTATCTTATCTCGAAAGATATCAATGGTAATCTGAAGCTGATAATTAAAGATTCTTTATTGGAAGACACCGGTCACTACACTTGTCAATTGGACAGACAACCGGACAAAACCGAATGCAAACTTAAAATTGTCGAGTACCCATATAAATTCGTAAAGGTTTTGAAGTCTCAACAATGCATCGAAAAGGATACCGTCACCTTGGCCTGTGAAATTGATGATGCTCAGGGTGAAGTGAAATGGTGGCGTAACGATGAAGAAATTAAGCCGGACAAACGTATACAAATCGTTAAAGACGGACGCAAACGTAAACTTATCCTTAAAGACTGCAAAGTTACCGATGCCGGCATGTTTAAATGTACCACGAATGCCGACAAAACTGAAGCCGAAATCATCATTAACTGTAAGTGTAAATGGTTATTTTAAAACACGCCTTAAAACACATTAATATCAATTATCTTCACATGATTTTAGATCAAAATCGCTTCAACAAGAAACTTAAGGACACCGATGCCGTGGAACGCGAGAAATTGGTACTCGATGTTGAATTGCAAGATCAGACAGCACCATGTGACTGGAAATTCAATGGCGAGCCAATTGTTCCCAGTGATCGCATTGAGATTAAAAATTTGGGTGGTGGCAAACATCAACTAGTATTCAATAATTTAGAATTGGCTGATGAGGGTGAGATCACTTGTGAATCTGGTCAATTGAAGTCAAGCTGTAAGCTTACTGTACGTAAAGGAGAAAGTAAGCCTAATATCGACTGTCCCGATGAGTTTGCTGGTCCGATTAGTGCACCCGTTGTATTGGAAGTACCATACAAAGGTAGGTGTTATATAAAAGAATATTTATATAAGACAATATTTATTTAATTCAATAACAATTTTAATCACTATTAACTTTATTGCCACAATAGTATTTCAGAATAGCTTTCTCTTGTATTAAAATCTTTATGTATATGTATAAATATAGATGCGCTTTACAATTTATAATAAGACAAAAATCACATTTATAATTAAGTATTATGAAAGAAAAAATATTCTTCCATAATAAATTCTCAAACTTGTCATTTCGCCAAAAATAACAGCCTATCGTATAAATTTATATATTTAATAAAATTTGTGCCCTATTTTAGTTAACGGTACTAAACAAACACCAGTCGAGGCCAAGCTTTTGAAGAATGGAAAGCCTTTGGCTGTGAAAGATGTAGAGGTTGCTATTACGGATGATAAAATCACCTTCAAAATTAAGAAACCTACACGAGACATGTCCGGCCCCTATCAAATCAAGTTATCTAATGGCCAGGGTGATGACATTAAGGATGTAAATGTAATTTGCCAGGATGTACCTCAACCACCGCGCGATGTTGATGTCACAGACATATACCAAACGTCATGCAAAGTAGTTTTCAAGCCACCTGAGGATGATGGTGGATCGCCAATTGTAAAATATATTGTGGAAAGACAAGACATTAGTAAGAAGCAAGGTTGGGAACCTGTAGCTGAAGTATTGCAGGGTGAACCGTGCTCAAAGAGCATCGAAGACTTGGTACCGAAAAAACAATACAGATTCCGTATTCGTGCTGTCAATAAGATCGGTCCTTCTGATCCAGCTACATTTAAGAATACTATTCTTGCAAAGGATCCATGGGATGAGCCTGGCAAACCTAAAGATGTAGATTTAACTGACTGGGATAAAGATCATGCTGATCTTAAATGGGAAGCTCCTGAAAGCGATGGTGGAGACCCCATTACTTCATACATTATTGAGTACAAAGAAAAGTTCTCAAACGATTGGGTTGCAGGTAAAGAGGTGCCCGGCAATGCTCGCGCGGGTACTGTAGATGGACTTAAAGAAGGACAACAGTACGAATTCCGAGTCCGTGCTGTTAATAGGGCCGGTCCAGGTGAACCTAGCGACAAGACAAAGGCTATTATCGCGAAATGCCGTTTTGTCAAGCCATTCTTAGTGGGCGACGGTCTTAAGAATATTACAGTAAAGAAGGGACAAACAGTGCGCTATGACATAAAATACGATGGAGAACCTGAACCTAAAGCTACTTGGTTCAAAGGTGATAAAGAGTTGGTATTCGACAACCAACGTATAGTTTTGGAGCAACTTGAACGAAACTCCTCGATCACCATCAAGAAAGCTGTGCGCAAAGATACCAGCAAATATAAACTGGTTTTATCTAATAGTTCTGGAACTATTGAGTCAGAAGCACAAGTTATCGTTTTAGACCGTCCTCTAGCCCCTGGTGGTCCATTTGAACCTGAAGAAGTGCGTGCCGATCACATCAAAATGAAATGGAGACGTCCAGAAGACGATGGTGGTTGTGAAATTACCGGCTATGCATTAGAACGTATGGATGAAGAAACTGGACGTTGGATACCAGCAGGAGAAGTCGGTCCCGATGAAACCTCATTTAATTTCAAGGGACTTACACCTGGTAAAAAATATAAATTCCGTGTTAAAGCCATCAACAAAGAAGGTGAATCAGAACCTTTGGAAACGTCTGATTCTATTTTGGCAAAGAACCCCTACGATCCACCAAGTGCACCCGGTAAACCAGTTATTGATGACTACGATAATAAGAGCGTTACACTAAAGTGGAAAATACCTCCCTCCGACGGTGGTAGACCAATTCTACACTATGTCATAGAACAAAAGGATAAATTTTCACCCACCTGGACCGAAGTGGCTAAAACTGAAAACGCTTCTCCCACCTGCAAAGTGGAGGGCTTGAAGGAAAAAATGGTTTATCAGTTCCGTGTACGTGCTGTTAACAAGGCAGGACCATCAGAGCCATCCGAACCTACAGATAACCATTTGTGCAAACACAAGAACCGTAAGTATTTTAAACAGTTAATTATCTTTTATTTTCAGTTAAAAAAGCTTGCTTTGCTTTGCTTTGGGTCTTATCAAAATAATATAAATTTATATTTAATTTTCTGTATGAAACATTATATAAATTTGAAGCTAGATCTGAAGACTTAGCTGTTCCCAATTTTTATACATAGGTTTGATTTTAAAAATGAATAAATAAGTACGCAAATAACCCGACGTGCATAAAATTTTTTAAAATTCATATATTAGATCCCATGACATTTTTGGAAACACGATTGAGGTGTGCAGATGTCAATATCTGCTATAAAGTTAGCTTAAATGTTCCGCTTTAGCTTTCCATGCCAAAATTTATGCAAAGAAGAAAAATTAAATTTATTTTTACTTCCCATTCATAAAATAAATAGTGAAACCTCAAATTGATCGATCAACATTCAAGCGTGTCACAATCAAGACTGGGCGCACCCATAAATGGTCTGTGGATGTTATTGGTGAGCCTGTACCAACATTAAATTGGAGTTGGCGAGATAACATCCCACTGACCACTGGTGATCGTATTAAGATTGAAAATGTCGATTATCATACCGATTTCATTATTTCGAATGTCGTTCGTAAGGATACTGGTATGTATACATTAAAAGCAGAAAATCGCAATGGTGTTGACACTGAGACTGTGGAATTATTGGTTTTGGGTAAACCAACCTCGCCTAAGGGTCCACTTGCCGTCAGCGATGTCACTGCCACCGGTTGCAAATTGCAATGGAAGAAACCTGAAGATGATGGGGGTGTACCAATTAAGGAGTATGTTGTTGAAAAAATGGATACAGCTACTGGCAAGTGGGTGCGCGTCGGTCGTTCTCCTGGTGAGAAAGAACCTCCCAGTTTTGATGTGACTGGCCTGAATCCGGGCTCCGAGTATATGTTCCGCGTCTCTGCAGTCAACGAGGAAGGCGAATCGGAACCACTTACTACCTTGGTGGGTGTAGTTGCTAAGGATCCCTATGACGAACCTAACAAACCAGGTACTCCTGAGGTAACAGACTACGATAACCAGAGTGTCTCTCTTAAATGGACTGCACCAAATAATGACGGTGGTGCACCGATTGAGAAATATATTATTGAAAAGAAGGACAAAAATAAGCCTGACTGGGAGAAGGCTATTGAGGTACCTGGTGATCAGTTAGAGGCAACCGTTGCTGGTCTTCAAGAATATGGAGAATATCAATTCCGTGTAGTTGCAGTTAATAAGGCAGGTCCATCGGCACCATCAGATGCCAGTAAAATGCAAATTGTCAAATACAAGAAACGTGAGTAGTATTTAAAAGATTCGGAACTTGCTCACTTTTCAAATTTTTTTATAATGTTAATATATTTTTACAGTTAAACCCCGTATTGATCGTACCAACCTTAAACCACTACTTATTCGTGCTGGCAAACCAATTAAATATGATGTTAATGTGCGTGGTGAACCAGCACCCACAATTACATGGTATCAAAATGATAAGGAGTTAAAACCTGAGGAAGTACCAAGCAATTGTGAAATCAAGAATGTACCTTACAACACGAAAATATCAATTATTGATGCTGTGCGTCAACATACCGGTATATACAAAATTCGGGCTGTTAACGAACACGGAGAGGATGAAGCGACGGTGGAAGTTAATGTTTTGGGAGCTCCTGGAAAGCCGAAAGGTCCCCTGGAAGTCAGTAACATTACCAAAGATAGCTGTAAACTTAAGTGGAAGAAGCCCGATGATGATGGTGGCAAACCCATTACCGCCTACCAAGTCGAGAAGTTTGATAAAAAGCAAGGTCGTTGGGTGCCAGTCGGTCGTACGTCTGGCAATGATACCGAAATCGATGTCAAGGGCCTCCAAGAAGGCCATGAATATCAGTTCCGGGTCAAGGCCATCAACGAGGAAGGTGAATCAGAACCTTTGGAGACCGATGGCAGCATCATTGCTAAAAACCCTTATGATGCTGCTAGCAAACCTGGTACACCAAAGATCGATGATTATAATGAACATATGGTTAAGCTTGTTTGGGAGCCACCTAAAGACAATGGAGGTGCACCCATAACAGGTTACATTATTGAAAAGAAGGACAAATACTCTCCAATCTGGGATGAAGTACTAACAACAGAAGTAAGTTGTTATATAGGCTATTTCTATTGATTATTTATATAATTTCTTTGGGTAATTCTAAAGAAGATGTTTTGTAAAAACTGAAAAAAATCATATTTGTTGCAAAATGTTTGAAAATTTTAGCTTCTCTTACTTATTTTATGATTCTTTAAATATTAAACATAAGATGAGTACATATCATATTATATTAATTTATAATTTAGTCGTCAAGAAGGCTATGTATGATTAATACTAAAATCTTATTTTGAATATAGAGTCCACTTCCTGAGGCAACAGTTGAAGGTTTGATTGAAGGCAATGTTTATCAATTCCGTGTTAGGGCTGTCAACAAGGCTGGTCCTAGCGAACCTAGTGACGCCACTGAACCACATCTAGCGAAACCGAGAAACTGTAAGATAATTGACGCTTCCACTTTACGGTTTTTATTTAATTCTTTAATGCAAAGGCTTAATAAAATACAATAAATATATAATTTATTATGCAAGGCTTTATAACAGATTTCAGTTATGTACACACGAGAAATATGGCCTTAAGTTAAACAAAGCATAGCTTCTTAATATAGCGTTTGAATATGTTTGAATAGGTCTGAATTCTTAGTAATTTTTTTTATTCTTAATTCTTCTATTATGTTTAATGTTATTCTGTTGAATTGTGCAGTAAAACCATGCATTAATCGGGAAAAGATGAAACCCGTCAAGGTCCGCGCAGGCCAAACAGTGAAATTCGATGTCGATGTTAAGGGAGAGCCGGCACCCACTTTAACTTGGTTCTTTAAAGAACAAGACTTAATTCCCACTGGACAGTCTCGCATTGAAAATGAGGACTATAATACCAAGCTAGTTATTATGGACAGTTCCAGAAAGGATACCGGTGTTTATAAACTTAAAGCTGAGAATATTAATGGTGTCGACGAAGCTGAAGTGGAAGTTATAATTTTAGACAAGCCATCGAAACCAGAAGGACCATTAGAAGTTAGTGACGTCCACAAGGAGGGTTGTAAACTCAAATGGAAGAAACCTAAAGATGATGGTGGTGTACCTCTTACTGGTTATGTAATTGAAAAATTAGATACCGCTGTTGGGCGCTGGGTACCTGCCGGTACAGTTGATCCCGAAAAGACTGAACAAGAAATCAAGGGTTTGGAACCAAACCACAGATACCAATTCCGTGTTAAGGCAGTTAATGAAGAAGGTGAATCCGAACCATTGGAAACGGATTCGGCTATCGTTGCCAAGAATCCATTCGATGTTTCTGCACCACCTGGTCTACCAGAATTCGAAGACTGGGATGAACACCATGTCAAGCTGAAGTGGGAACCACCAATTCGTGATGGTGGTGCTCCTGTTACTAGTTACATAATTGAAGTTATGGACAAGGATTCCGGCGAGTTTGTTAAGGCCGCTGAAACTGATGGACCAGTTTGCAAGGGTGTTGTCAAAAAACTAGAAGAGGGCCAACAATATAAATTCCGTGTCAGAGCAGTCAACAAGGCTGGTCCCTCCGAGCCTTCTGAGCAAACGAATTGGCATATTGCCAAACCACGTTTCCGTAAGTTTATTTTTCTATTTTAATCTGAAGCAGTACATGGTCATAGACATATCTTTAAAAAAACTATTTTCTTTTTGCAGTTAAACCACATATCGATCGTACTAATCTAAAACCAGTCATTGTTAAAGTGGGTCTTTCTATTAGCTTGGACATTAACATTAAAGGTGAGCCAGCACCTAAAGTAGAATGGTCTTTCAGAGATCAACCCTTGGTGTCCGACGAAGAAGGCATTAAAATTGATAATGTCGACTATAACACCAAATTTTTCGTTATGCGTGCTAAACGTCCAATGTCTGGCAAATACACAATTAAAGCTAGCAATGAAGTGGGCGAAGATGTTGCTGAACTAGATGTCACCGTATTAGGAAAGCCTGGAAAGCCTAAAGGTCCTTTACAAGTCAATGACATTACTAAGCACGGTTGCAAACTTAAATGGGAGAAACCTGAAGATGATGGCGGTGCTCCCATTGATTACTACGAAATTGAAAAACTTGATCCACATACTGGTCAATGGTTGCCTTGTGGTAAAAGCACAGAACCCGAAGCTAAAGTCATTGGACTGAGCGAAGGTAAACCATACAAGTTCCGTGTAAGAGCCGTAAACAAGGAAGGCGAATCTGAGGATTTGGAAACTGAAAAGCCTATAATTGCTAAAAATCCATTCGATGAGCCAGATAAGCCGGGACGTCCAGAACCCACTAACTGGGATAAAGATTTTGTGGATTTGGCATGGGATCCACCAAAAAGTGATGGTGGTGCACCCATACAGAAATATATTATACAAATGCGCGATAAATCAGGTAGATCTTGGGTGGATGCTGCTACTGTTCCGGGAGATCACACTAAGGGTACAGTAACCAATGTTGAAGAAGGTCATGAATACGAGTTCCGTATAGTTGCGGTTAATAAAGCAGGTCCGAGTGAACCTAGTGATGTTTCAAAATCTGTTGTGGCTAAACCTCGTTTTCTTAAACCCCATATCGACCGCAAAAACTTACAAAAGAAAACATTACGCAGCGGTCAAATGTTGCATATGGAAGCAGCTGTTAAAGGTGAACCACCAGCAAAGGTTACCTGGACTTACAATGCCGAAGTTCTTAAAACTAACGATAGAATAAAAATTGAAAATGAAGATTATAAAACAACATTTATAATGCCAAAAGTTAAACGTTCCGATAAGGGCATTTACATCGTTATGGCTAAAAATGATTCCGGAACTGATACTGTTGAAGTTGAGTTGGAAGTTTTGTGTAAACCCAGCAAGCCTAAAGGTCCTTTGGCTGTTTCCGATGTGACAGCAGAAAGTGTTCATTTGAAATGGGATAAACCAGACGATGATGGCGGTGAACCTATTGAACATTATGTGGTTGAGCGTATGGACACAGAAACTGGACGTTGGGTTCCAGTACTAACCACAAAGTCTCCGGAAGCCGATGTGACTGGCCTTACCGAGGGTAAGGAATATTTGTTCCGTGTTAAAGCTGTCAATGCTGAAGGCGAATCTGAGCCATTGGTTACAGATATTCCTACTACAGCTAAAAATCCATATGATCCAGCTGATACTCCCGGAAAACCTCAAATTGTCGACTGGTCTAGTAATCATGCTGACTTGAAGTGGCGTGCTCCCGAAGATGACGGTGGAGCTCCTATTACCGGTTATATAGTCGAAAAGAAAGATAATAATACTGGCAAGTGGCAAAAAGTTTTAGAGACCAATACGCCTGAGCCAAAGGCTCGCGTCAATGATTTAATTGAGGGCACAAAATACCAATTCCGTGTCAAGGCTGTTAACAAAGCTGGTCAAAGTAAACCTTCAGAACCTTCAGATCAAATGATTGCTAAAGACAGATTTGCTCCTCCCAAAATCGATCGCACAAACATTAAGGATATTACAGTTAAGGCTGGCAACCATGTGAGATACGACATTAAAGTATCAGGAGAACCACCAGCAACAAAGACTTGGTTCCACAATAAAGCACGTCTGGAAGGCGATGAAGTTACTATTGATTTAGAACCATACCGCACTAAACTTGCAATACCCTTTGCCAAACGTTCCCATACTGGCAAATATACCATTAAGGCTGAAAATGAATCTGGCCACGATGAAGCTTCATTTGAAGTTACTGTCCTTGATAGACCTGGTCAGCCAGAAGGACCTCTTCGTATATCAGATGTACATAAGGAAGGTTGTAAGCTTAAATGGAATCCTCCATTGGACGATGGTGGTTTACCTATTGAACACTATATTGTTGAGAAAATGGATGTGGAAACTGGCCGTTGGTTACCATCAGGACGCTTTAAGGAACCATTTGCTGAATTGAATAATTTGGTGCCTGGCCAGGAGTATAAATTCCGTGTTCTGGCTGTTAACACTGAAGGTGAATCGGAGCCTTTGAATGGTGATAAATCTATTATTGCTAAAAATCCATTCGATGAACCCGGTAAACCTGGTACACCAGAGGCAGTTGACTGGGATAAGGATCATGTAGATCTTGTTTGGAAACCACCGCTCAACGACGGTGGTTCTCCTATAACTGGCTACACTGTTGAAAAACGTGAAAAGGGTACAGATAAATGGATTAAGGCTACTGAAATTTCGGCACCATTACCAGGTGATGAGTGCAAAGCCACTGTACCTAATTTGGATGAAAACTGTGAATACGAATTTAGAGTTAAAGCTATAAATGCTGCAGGGCCTGGAGAACCCTCTGATGCCAGCAAGACGGTTATAACAAAACCAAGAAAACGTAAATAAATTTTTTTTATTTCAATTCAAAAAATACTAATTAAATTTAATTTTAGTCGCTCCCAAAATCGATCGCCGCAATATCCGCACTTACAATGTAAAAGCTGGAGAACCTATTTGTTTGGATATTCAGGTATCCGGTGAACCAGCTCCTGATGTTGTTTGGTCTCAAAGTGGAAAATCCATTCAACAAACTTCATCTCGTCGCATTGACAATATTCCGTACAATACTAAATACATCAATGGAAGTCCAGAACGTAAAGATACTGGTCTATATAAGATTGTAGCTACTAACAAATATGGTCAAGATCAAGTTGAATTTCAAATAAACATTATAAGTAAGTATAGTAAAATAATTAATTCAAATACAAAATGTTATACATATTATACATGTTTTCAGCAAAACCTGCCAAACCAGAGGGTCCTTTGGAAGTTTCGGATATTCACAAAGAAGGTTGCAAATTGAAATGGAAAAAACCCAAGGACGATGGTGGTGAGCCTATTGATGGATATGTCATTGAAAAGTTCGATCCAGATACCGGTATTTGGTTGCCTTGTGGAAAGAGTGATGTACCTGAATTTGAAGTTGATGGCTTAACTCCAGGACACGAATACAAATTCCGTGTTAAAGCTGTTAATAAAGAAGGTGAATCAGAACCTCTAGAAACATTTGGAACAATCGTTGCTAAAGATCCCTTCACAACACCATCTAAGCCTGGAGCACCTGAACCTACAGACTGGACGGCGAATAAAGTTGATTTGGCCTGGCCAGAACCTGCTAGTGATGGCGGTTCACCAATCACTGGTTATATAGTAGAGAAGAAGGACAAATATAGTCCAATGTGGGAGAAAGCTCTTGAAACTGATTCTCCAGCACCCTTGGCAACAATAAATGGTCTGATTGAAGGAAATGAGTATCAATTCCGTATTATAGCTGTCAACAAAGCTGGTCAATCTGAACCCTCTGATGCCGGTAAAACATTTGTAGCCAAACCTCGTTATTTGGCACCTAAGATTGATAGACGTAATTTAAGAGATGTAACAATTTCTGCTGGTTCCACTTTGAAATTAGATGCCAACATTGTGGGCGAGCCTGCTCCCAAAGTGGAATGGAGATTTTCTAATTGTCCCTTGACAACAGGCAAAAACGTCACTATTGATTCTCCCGACTACTATACGAAATTAGTCATTCGTCCCGCTCAGCGCGCCGATTCAGGCGAATATGTTGTTACGGCTACAAATAGCTCCGGCAAAGATACAGTTCAAATTAATGTAGTGGTAACAGACAAACCAACTGCCCCTAAAGGTCCTCTACAAATTTCTGATGTTCACAAAGAAGGCTGTCATCTAAAATGGAAACGGCCACAAGATGATGGCGGCACTCCTATTGAATATTTCCAAATTGATAAACTGGACCCTGAAAGTGGATGCTGGATACCTTGTTGCCGTTCTACGGAACCTCAAGCCGATGTCACAGGCCTCAATCCTGGAGGTGAATACAAATTCCGTGTTTCTGCTGTCAATGCTGAAGGAGAATCAGAACCTTTAGTAGGCGATGAATCCATTATTGCCAAAAATCCCTTCGATGAACCTGGCAAGCCAGAAAACCTTCGACCTACCGATTGGGATAAAGACCATATTGACTTGGCCTGGACAGCTCCCTTTAACGATGGTGGATCTCCTATTACAGGTTATATTGTAGAAAAGAAGGATAAATATGGTAAATGGGAGAAAGCCGCTGAAGTGCCTGCTGATCAAACCAAGGCCACAGTACCTGATTTAGTAGAAGGCCAGGCTTACGAATTCCGTGTTTCGGCTGTAAATGCCGCTGGTCCTGGTGAACCATCAGATGCTACCCAACCCATTGTAGCTAAACCTCGTAATAAGGCACCTCTTATTGATCGCACTAATCTCATCGAGGTTCGCATTAAAGCAGGACAGGCCTTTACATTTGACTGCAAGGTGTCAGGTGAACCTGCACCCAAAACCAAGTGGTTGCTTAAAAAACGTGAAGTTTACACTAAAGATAATGTGAAAGTTACACATGTTGATTATAACACCAAACTGAAGGTATCTAACGCTACACGTGCTGATTCAGGAGTATATACCGTACATGCTGAAAACATGAGTGGAGAAGATAGTGCCGATGTCAAAGTCACTGTAATTGACAAGCCTTCACCTCCCAATGGCCCCTTGAAGGTGGATAATGTTCATGCTGAAGGTTGCTCATTACACTGGAATCCTCCAGATGATGATGGCGGGCAACCAATTGAAAACTATGTAATTGAAAAGTTGGACGAAATTACTGGACGTTGGGTTCCAGCTGGTGAAACTGATGGTCCTACTACTAATTTCGATGTTAAAGGTCTTACCCCAGGCCACAAATACAAATTCCGTGTACGTGCTAAGAACCGTCAAGGAACCTCTGATCCGTTGACTACTCCTCATGCCACTGAAGCCAAAAATCCCTATGGAGAACCCACAAAACCTGGAACACCAGAAATCAAAGACTTTGACAAAGACTTTGTGGACTTGGAATGGTCTCGTCCCGAGAGTGATGGTGGCTCGCCTATTACAGGCTATGTAATTGAGAAGCGCGATAAGTATTCTCCAAACTGGGAACCTTGTGCAGAAGTTGAAGGTGATGTCACATCGGGTCATGTTCCTGATTTGGTCGAAGGTGTTAAATATGAATTCCGTGTACGTGCTGTTAATAAAGCTGGGCCAGGAGAACCTAGTGATGCTTCACTATCTCATGTTGCACGTCCTAAGAATTTACCGCCAAAGATTGATCGTAACTTTATGCTTGATATTAAAGTACGTGCTGGTAATACATTTGAATTTGATGTACCTGTAATTGGTGAACCTGTTCCTGCAAAGGAATGGTCACATGAAGGCAATATTGTTATTAACACTGATCGTGTTAAGCTGGTCAATGAAGACTACCGCACAAAACTTCGCGTAGTCGATGCTAAGCGTGCCGATACTGGAGAATACACATTAGTAGCTCGCAATATTAATGGCGTGGACAAAGCTACAGTTAAAGTTACTGTTTTGGATGTACCGTCGGCTCCTGAGGGACCTCTACGTCCTGATGAAGTCACCAAGAACTCCATTACTTTACGTTGGCGTCCACCTAAAGATGACGGTGGTTCAGAAATTACACACTATGTCGTGGAAAAAATGGATACTGATGCCATGAGATGGGTACCAGTAGGTGATTGTGCTGATTGCGAAATTCGTGCTGAGAATCTAATCGAAGGACATGACTACAATTTCCGCGTACGTGCCGTTAACAAACAAGGCCAATCACAACCTCTCGTAACCACCCAAGCCATTACGGCCAAGGATCCCTTCTCACGACCTGACAAACCTGGACAACCCCAGGCAGTTGATTGGGGTAAAAACTTTGTCGATCTGGAATGGCCAGCTCCTAAACGTGATGGTGGATCCCCCATTACTGGTTACATCATAGAGAAGCGTCCTAAATTCGGGCAATGGGAGAAAGCTTTGGACGTTCCTGGAGGTGAAACAAAAGCTCATATTCCTGATTTAACTGAAGGTCAAGAGTATGAATTCCGAGTAGTTGCAGTTAACCGTGGTGGTCACAGTGACCCATCTGATCCTACAATGCCAGTAATTTGTAAACCTCGATTTTTGGCACCCTACTTTGATAAGTCTTTGCTTAACGACATTACAGTTCATGCTGGAAAGAGCCTCGGTTGGTCACTGCCTATTGAAGCATCTCCAAGACCAACAATTAAGTGGTTGTTTAATGGCAAGGAAATTGAACCTTCGCCACGTGTCGATATGAACTTATTCCAAAACGAATTAACATTCGAAATTTCAAGTGCGTTGCGTTCCGATGAAGGTAGATATACCCTGGTTTTGAAAAACGAACACGGATCATTTGACGCTACTGCTCACGCAACAGTATTGGATCGTCCTAGCCCACCAATTGGTCCTTTGGATATCACTAAAATTACTCGAGATGGTTGTCATCTTACCTGGCAAGTGCCCGAAGATGATGGTGGTTCACCTATTTTACACTATATTATTGAAAAAATGGACTTGTCACGCGGTACTTGGTCTGACGCTGGTATGAGCACACACCCAGTACATGATGTGACACGCCTTACACATCGCAAAGAATATTTGTTCCGTGTCAAAGCAGTAAATGCTATTGGAGAATCCGAACCTTTGGAAGCTGCCAAGAGTATTATCGCCAAAAATGAATTCGATGAACCAGATGCACCTGGCAAGCCCGTCGTCACTGACTGGGATCGTGATCACGTTGACTTGCAATGGGCTGAGCCCAAGTCGGATGGTGGTTCTCCCATCACAGAGTATATTATACAAAAGAAAGAAAAGGGTAGTCCCTACTGGGTTAATGTGGTTCATGCCCCTGCAAACAAAACATCGGCGACAGTTCCAGATTTAACAGAAGGACAAGAGTATGAATTCCGTGTCATTGCTGTAAATCAAGCTGGCCAATCAGAACCTTCCGAACCTTCGGATATGATCACAGCCAAGGCTAGATATTTGGCTCCTAAAATTATTACGCCCTTGCATGATATACGCATTAAAGCGGGTCTTATTTTCCATATTGATATCAATTTCATTGGTGAACCAGCGCCCGAAGTTATTTGGAACCTCAACAGCAAACCTTTGACAAATAATGAACGCTCTACCATAACTTCGATTGGCTACCATACAGTTGTTCACACTGTCAATTGTCAGCGTAGTGATTCTGGTCGCTATCATTTGCTCTTACGTAACGATTCAGGCATTGATGAAGGAAGCTTTGAATTGGTTGTACTTGATCGCCCTGGACCACCAGTTGGTCCTCTGGAGTATGAAGAAATTACTGCAAATTCTGTAACAGTTTCGTGGAAACCTCCTAAAGACAATGGAGGTTCAGAAATTTCTGCTTATGTTATTGAAAAACGTGACTTGACTCACGGTGGTGGCTGGGTGCCAGCAGTGACCTATGTTAATGCCAAATACAATCATGCCGTTGTGCCACGACTCTTGGAAGGTACACAATATGAATTCCGCGTAATGGCAGAAAACTTGCAGGGACGTTCTGATCCTCTGACATCGGAAGAACCAGTAATTGCCAAGAATCAATACACAGTACCTGGAGCTCCTAGCAAGCCAGAGCTGACCGAAAGTGATAAGGATCATATTTCTATTAAATGGAAGGCCCCTATTAGTAATGGAGGTTCTCCTGTCATTGGCTATGACATTGAAAGACGTGACGTTGCCACTGGTCGCTGGCTTAAGATTAATGCTGAACCTGTTCCTAACACCGAATACACAGATGATCGCGTTACTTTCGATCACCAATATCAATACCGCGTGTCTGCTGTAAATGCAGCTGGTAATGGTAAACACTCAGAACCCTCCAATGTATTGACTGCTAAATCAATGCGCGAAAAACCACGTTTGCATTTGGATGGTTTAATCGGCCGCAAGATTAAGGTGCGTGCTGGTGAACCCGTGAATGTTAATATACCCATTTCGGGAGCTCCCACACCCACAATTGAATGGAAGCGTGGAAGTGTTAGAGTACCTGAAAATAACCGATACTCATTTAGTACAAATTCGGAACGTACTATCTTCCGCATCGACGATACCACCAGAGACGATGCTGCTGTTTACAATATTACGGCATCAAATGAATTCGGAAAAGATTCCGCAGATATCGAAATCATAGTTGTTGATAAGCCCACTCCACCTGAAGGACCATTGACTTACACTGAAACTGCTCCTGATCACATCTCCCTTTCGTGGAACCCTCCCAAAGATAATGGAGGAAGTGATATTACTGGCTACGTTATTGAACTAAGTGAATTTGGTTCTGATAACTGGCGCCCTGTACCAGGCTATTGTCCTAAAACTAGCTATACGGTGAAGGGTCTGACAGAGGGCAAGAAATATGTATTCCGAGTTAGAGCAGAAAATATATATGGCCTATCTGAACCATTAGAAGGTAAACCCATTGTTGCGAAATCGCCATTTGATCCCCCAGATGCTCCAAGTCAGCCAAAGGTTGTCGCCTATTCACCAACATCAGCCAGTTTGGAATGGCATCCACCAGAGTATTGCGGGGGTAAACCTATCACTGGTTATATAGTTGAACGTCGTGAACGTGGAGGGGAATGGATCAAATGCAACAACTATCCAACACCAAATACCAGCTATACCGTACCTGACTTACACGAAGGCGGACGTTATGAGTTCCGCGTTTTGGCTGTTAATGAGGCCGGACCTGGTAAACCATCCAAGCCTTCGGAACCTATTACGGCTGAATTACAAAGATACAAACCTGATCCACCAGAGCCACCAAAGGCAGATCGTATAACTAAGGATAGTGTTACCTTGTCATGGCGTCCTCCTAGAAATGATGGTAAATCTAAAATCAAGGGCTATTTCTTGGAAATTAAACCTAAAAATTCTAAGAACTGGGAACCAGTTAACGAATTGCCTATAAATAATACCGTACATACCATACCAAACCTAAAGGAAGGTGAAGAATATACTTTCCGCGTCTCTGCTGTTAATGAAGTTGGTCGCTCAGATCCTTCAAAACCTTCACAACCAATTGTTATTGAAGAACAAGCCAACAAACCATGCATGGATCTAGGAGGCGTTCGCGATATTGTTTGTCGTGCTGGTGAGGACTTTAGCATTCACGTTCCTTATGTAGGCTTCCCTCGACCAACCGCTCATTGGTATGCTAACGATATAGTGTTAGAGGATGATGGTCAACGTATGTTCCAACGTTTAACAGATGATTCGGCTTCATTTATTGTAAAAAATTCTAAACGCTCCGACTCTGGACAATACAGACTGCAGCTGAAAAATCCGTCTGGTTTTGATACCGCTACTATAAATGTTAAGGTTCTAGATCGTCCAAAACCACCCACCAATTTGTGTGCTGACGAATTCGCTGGTGATGCTCTTACATTATATTGGACACCACCTAAAGATGATGGAGGTTCACCAATCACTAACTACATTATTGAAAAGAAAGAAGCCCACTCATCAACTTGGTCAAAGGTTAGCAGTTACTGCACTGTACCTTTCGTACGTATACGTAATTTAACGATAGGCAAGGAATACGATTTCCGTGTAATTGCTGAAAATAAATATGGACAATCTGATCCAGCAACTACAGATGAACATATTCGCGCCAGACATCCCTTCGATGTTCCTAATGCCCCAGGCGTGCCTCGTGGTATTGATTCCTCCGAAGATAGCATTACAATTACATGGACTAAACCTAGACACGATGGTGGCTCTCCCATTACTGGTTATGTTATAGAAAAACGCTTGATCAGTGAAGAAAAGTGGACTAAAGCTATACAATCATTGTATCCCAGTTTGACATGTAAAATTCCCAACCTTATTGAAAATGCTGAATATGAGTTTAGAGTAGCTGCAGTAAATGCTGCTGGTCAATCACCATATAGCGCTTCAAGTGATCCTATATTCTGCCGCCGACCACCACATGCACCAAAGATTACTTCTGATCTCTCAATACGTGATATGACTGTAATTGCTGGTGAAGAATTCCGTATAACTGTGCCTTATCATGCCAATCCACGGCCTACTTCAGCATGGACTATTAACAACCAAGAAGTTTTGCAAGACGATCGTATCAAATTCGAGACTACAGATTACAGTTCTGTCTATCACAACAAGTGCGCTAAGCGCTCAGAGACTGGATCGTACACCATTACTCTCACCAACAACAAGGGTTCTGATTCTGCTTCTTGCTATGTAACGGTTGTCGATAAACCAGGCATTCCTCAAGGACCTTTGATGGCCTCAGACATTACACCCGATACCTGCACACTGTCTTGGAAGACTCCATTAGATGATGGCGGATCACCGATTACCAACTATGTGGTCGAAAAACTTGATAACAGCGGCACCTGGGTAAAAGTTAGTAGTTTTGTGCGTAATATTCACTACGATGTAATGGGCTTGGAACCAAATCACAAGTATCACTTCCGTGTACGCGCTGAAAATCAATATGGTCTCTCCGAACCCCTGGAAATGGAAGATCCTATAACAGCAAAATACCAATTTACCGTTCCTGATGCTCCAGGTCAACCTAAAGTTATAGACTGGGACTCAGGCAATGTCACATTGATCTGGACTCGTCCAAGCAGTGATGGTGGTTCCCGCATCCAAGGCTACCAAATTGAATACCGAGACGTTGTGAATGACTCCGCTTGGAATACCTATGAATTTTTGATTAAAGACACCAAATATCAGCTATACAATCTAACAAATGGCTGTGAATACGAATTCAGAGTTAAAGCTAAAAATGCTGCTGGTTTCAGTAAACCCTCAGCTCCTTCCACACGCTTTAAACTTAAGGGTAAGTTCACGGTTCCTTCACCACCTGGTACGCCTCAAGTTGTTAAAGTAGGCAAAAACTACGTTGACCTCAAATGGGAGAAACCACTCAGCGATGGAGGTTCACGTATCACTGGTTACATCGTGGAGCGTCGTGATATTGGGGGCGCTATTTGGGTTAAATGTAATGACTACAATGTCATGGATACTGAATACACTGTTATAAACCTCATTGAAATGGGAGACTATGAATTCCGCATTTTTGCTGTCAATGCTGCCGGTCGTTCCGAACCCAGTTCCTGCACCATGCCTATTAAGGTTTGCGAAGTATTAGGTGGTGAGAAGCCCGAATGGATAACTCGTCTACAAGATCGTGTGGCACCATTTGGCAAAGACTTTACTTTGCAATGTCAGGCTACTGGCAAACCCGCTCCTACAGCAAGATGGCTACGTAATGGAAAAGAAATTCAAATGGGCTCAGGCCGTTATACTTGTGATAGTAAGGATGGCGTTTTCCGTTTGCATATCTCCAATGTACAGAATGGTGATGATGGCGATTACACTTGTGAAGCCATTAACTCCCTTGGTTTTGTGCATACATCTGGACATCTCAAGATTGGCTCACCTCCAGTTATCAACAGATGTCCAACAGAGTTGTTCTGGCCCGAAGGTGATAACACTAAAATTAAAATCTTCTATGGCGGTGATCAACCTATGAATGTTAGGATTACTCGTAACAATGAAACAATAACTGATGACGAGTCTCATTTCAAATACACCATTTTCGACGATTATGTAGCCATTTTCATACGTGACATCGTTAAGACTGATGCAGGATTATATCAAATCGAATTCTCCAATGATTCAGGTACTGCCACTGCTCAATTTGATGCACGCATAACTGGCTTGCCTTCAGCACCTGTCGGCCCAATGGGTGTCTCACATATTAACAAGCACTCTTGTACACTGGCTTGGCGTCCACCCACATATGATGGCGGTCTACGTGTTACTCACTATGTTGTAGAACGCAAAGACGTTACTTCTCCACATTGGATAACCGTATCCAGTTTCTGTAAGGAGACCTCATTCAATGTTCAGGGTCTTATTGAAAATCAAGAATACGTGTTCCGTGTTATGGCTGTTAATGAAAATGGCATGGGTCCAGCTTTGGAAGGACTTAACCCAATTAGAGCCAAGGCTCCAATAGACCCACCATCTCCACCAGGAACCCCCAAGGTTCATGAAATCGGCGAGGACTTTGTGCATTTGGAATGGGAAAAACCCGAATCGGATGGCGGTGCTCACATTCAAGGCTATTGGATAGACAAGCGCGAGGTTGGTAGCAGCACATGGCAACGTGTCAACGTTACCATTTGCGCGGCCAACCAAATCAATTGTCCCAACCTTATTGAGGGACGTCAATATGAATTCCGCGTTTTCGCTCAAAATGAAGCTGGTCTCTCCAAGGAGTCTGTAGCTTCAACACCTGTAAAGATGATTGATCCAAAGGCTGCAACAGCGCCTGTGATTGTGAAACCGCTACGCGATGCCCAATGCATACAAAATCATAACGCACAATTTAGTTGTACAATAACCGGTATTCCTAAGCCAGTTATTACTTGGTACAAGGGAGCACGTGAAATTACCAATGGTGCCCGTTATCATATGTACTCAGAAGGCGACAATTATTTCCTCAATATTAACGATGTCTTTGGCGAAGATGCTGATGAATATGTATGCCGTGCTGTAAACAAAGCTGGTGCCAAATCAACTCGCGCCGCTCTTGCAATTGCAAGTAAGTATGCACTTATTTTAACATGCATTTACTTTAGAATTATATATAGCATTGTACACTACTTTTATCAAATGACTCATATTAATGTTTATAAAAATGTTTTTTTAAGCCGCACCAAAATTGAACGTTCCACCACGATTCCGTGACACTGCCTACTTTGACAAAGGCGAAAATGTTGTTGTTAAAATTCCATTCACTGGCTTCCCTAAGCCTCGTATTCATTGGGTACGTGATGGTGAAAATATTGAGTCTGGTGGTCACTACCACGTAGAAACAAAAGAACGTCACGCTATATTAACAATTCGTGATGGTTCTCGTATGGATTCGGGCCCTTATAGAATAACGGCAGAAAATGAATTGGGTTCTGATACGGCTATTATTAAAATACAAATAAGTGACCGCCCTGATCCTCCACGATTCCCCACCGTTGATAATATTGGCATTGATTCGTTATCACTTAGCTGGAAGGCACCAGTTTGGGATGGTGGTAGTAACATAACCAACTATTTGGTAGAAAAACGTGAACATCCCCTATCCTCCTGGCTTCGTGTGGGTAATACCCGTTTCACAACAATGGCTGTTACAGGATTGACACCTGGAAAGGAATATGAATTCCGGGTTTATGCCGATAATGTTTATGGTCGTTCCGATCCTTCAGACGTAAGTACCTTAGTGAAGACAAAGGATGCTATTAAAAAGAAGCCTAAAGAACGTAAATGGGAAATCGATGAAAATGGCAAAAAGGTACGAGGCAAGGCTGATGGGCCCATCAAGGATTATGATTCATATGTCTTTGATATTTATTCTAAATATGTACCGCAACCAGTCGAAATCTCACACGATAGTGTATATGACAAATATGATATCTTAGAAGAAATCGGTACTGGTGCCTTTGGTGTAGTACACAGATGCCGTGAACGTAGTACAGGCAACATTTTCGCTGCCAAGTTCATACCTGTCTCACATGCTGTTGAAAAAGACCTCATTCGACGTGAAATCGATATAATGAACCAATTGCACCATCAAAAGTTAATAAACTTGCACGATGCCTATGAGGACGACGATGAAATGGTTTTAATTTTGGAATTGTAAGTATTTTACTATAAAAAATATCCACTTTTAATATATATATGTGTATTTTTTATTATTCATCATATAGCTTATCTGGCGGAGAACTTTTCGAACGCATTACAACAGAAGGTTATCGTATGACTGAAGCCGAAGTTATTAACTACATGAGACAAATTTGCGAAGGCATAAGACATATGCACGAAAAGAATATTATACATCTAGATATAAAGCCAGAAAATATAATGTGTCAAACCCGTAATAGCACAAATGTGAAATTAATAGATTTCGGTCTAGCGACACGTCTGGACCCCAATGAGGTAGTTAAGATTACAACTGGTACTGCAGAGTTTGCAGCACCAGAAATTGTCAATCGCGAACCAGTTGGCTTCTACACCGATATGTGGGCTACTGGTGTCTTAACATATGTCCTGCTTAGTGGTCTTTCACCTTTTGCTGGTGATAATGACATACAAACACTTAAAAACGTTAAGGCTTGTGATTGGGACTTTGATGCTCAGGCTTTCCGTCATATTTCCGAGGAGGGAAAAGACTTTATACGAAAACTTCTGGTGGCTAACAAGGAAAAACGTATGACTGCACATGAGTGCTTGTTGCATCCATGGCTAACCGGCGATCATAGTGATCTTACACAACAAATTGCACGCGATCGTTATCTTGCATTCCGGGACAAACTTCGTAAGAAGTATGAAGACTTTGGAAAATACCTGTTACCTATTGGTCGCCTTTCGGAATATTCTTCACTACGCAAACTTCTTATGGAAAAATACAAAATGCATGACACATCATTTGATCGTCGTCAAGCTGCTCCTCGCTTTGTAATACGTCCATCATCCCAATTCTGTTACGAAGGTCAAAGCGTCAAATTCTACTGCCGCTGCATTGCCATTGCAACACCTACACTTACATGGACCCACAACAATGTTGAGCTGCGCCAAAGCGTCAAGTTTATGAAGAGATACGCTGGCGATGACTACTACTTTATCATCAATCGTGTAAAACTAGAAGATCGCGGCGAGTACATAATACGTGCCGAAAATCATTATGGCTCACGCGAAGAAGTCGTTTTCCTAAACGTTCAACCACTGCCTAAGGAACAGCCTAGATATGTCCATGAGTCAACACCGGTTCGTCGCCGTGAACCTCTCCCATACACGTTCTGGCAAGAAGAATCCGAATCAGCACCCAGTTTTACATTCCTGTTACGTCCACGCGTTATGCAGGCTCGTGATACCTGCAAACTTCTCTGCTGTCTAAGTGGTAAACCAGTGCCAACCGTTAAGTGGTACAAGGATGGTCGCGAACTAAACAAATATGAATATTCTATGACCCATTCTGATGGTGTAGTTACAATGGAAATCATTGACTGCAAGCCCTCCGACTCTGGTAAATACACATGCAAGGCTACAAATTGCCATGGTACAGATGAAACCGAATGTGTAGTCATTGTTGAAGGTAAATAAATATTATGAAAAATATAAATATATAAATTATTTTGCTTCATCAATTGAGGGGTGTAGAAACAAAGCAGCAATATGCACTTTTTGTATAGATATGAAACTATATAGTCATGTTAGTTTTATTTTTTGTTTGAAAAACACGTCAAATATTTAAACATTTCTTAAAAATGCATTAACATTATTCCAAAAAGATTATTTCAATTAGCGTTACAAAAGAAACAATCCCCAAAAAAGAGTGCTGTATAGGTTACAATCCTCAAATGGTGAGTCACAATATTTATTAGCTAAAAACGTATATCGTACTGGTGTTTTGACTGATCAGCAGGATTCGGCATATCTAACTGGATGACATCAATAGGTTAGCTTATAACAAAAATTGCTGCCATTGTTTCTACATTCCCCAATTAGTCAATACCAAATTTATTTTAATTTATATACGAGTGAGATTGAAATCTTGGGAGAGAAAGTAAGTGTTCTCGAATAAATACTTCGAAATAACTCAATATATATTTGTACATCGTTATATTGCTACGGTCCGTTACTCAATTTGTTTCACAAAAATCAGTTACTATTTATATCTTTGATGTTCCGGTTTACGTAGTATATGTATTGTATTCAGAAATATCGACACTATAACAGTAATTCCGTCAATTGGGATTAAAATTACATAAAATATTATTTTTTAAACTTATTAGTAGTGGCCAACCAAACACAAGTTTTAGAGCGAACCCTTACATAACTTTTTATTATAATTTATCTAAAACATAATTTAGAGGTCATGGTAATTGTTATCCAGGAATCAAATAAGATTTTGCCGAACACCCTAATCGAATTCTAATGTTCGGTAGGACACTGCAAATAATATAATTTGTGTATATGTATTTACATACCTGTAAGGTCGGCCTTGACCGACTATAGTTTTTACTATATTTTTAATTATAATTTTTACTAATATTAAAACAAAAATTTATATAATTCTTTTTTGAATAGGAGAATGGGTTACACCTGAGCAGGCAGAACTTGCTCATAATTTCTTATATTCAGGAGGTAAAGATTTTTTTAAGGAAAACAAAGCTATGTTTTTAATTTCCCTAACACTTAATTTTCCTTAATTTGGTTAAAAACAATAAGTATTCTATTTTAAATACACACATAAAATTTTCCCTACGTATAATTCCAATCCCACTCCTGTTATTTAAACAAAATCTGTAAATATATGTATGTATATTATTAACCCTAAATATAATAAGGTATTGAAATAAACTAATACTTATATAAAAATACTCACACCAATTTAAATAGCACCCACTAGATCTATTTTCACAAAGCATGCATTTTAATATAGAATTACATCTAGTAATTTTGTCATGCAATAAAATGAATACGTAATATATAATAAAATAATTACCGATAAACTTAATTTAGATACTGTATGTTGTTTGATACATTATGTTGGTCCTTAAATTTGTGCTCCCAAAGTTTGATAAAATGATACAACGTAAACAATTCATTTAATGTTTAGTGTTCCAGAATAGATTTCATTCAGATTGATCTAAGAACTTGGGAGAACCAGACAAAAAAATATATTTAAAGGACTAACTAAATGTTCACATACAGTACAACATTAGGCATCTACATACATGTTACTCAGTATCAGTCAGTACATAAAGAAGCATTTTAATCAAACTTTTCTGGTATTTAGAACAATTAAATTTATTTATGTTAATATGACACAGAGTATTATTCTTAAAAAAAATTAAAACATTCTAATGATTTAATTAGAATATGTATGCACATGTATGTAAATGACCAAATATATCCACTTATTACCGTCTGCTAGTGCGAATATTTATATGTTCTTTTTTATGACATTTGTTTCCTTAGATCGCAAATATATTGAACATCCTCTTAAACCAGTGCCACCACCAATCATAACGAGGACACAATTTAGTTCATCTTCACATAATTCTAGCTCATTTTCTTCATCCACAACACGACAGAATGGGGTTTCGTCGAACTATTCATCGACGAATCAAAACTACTCATCCAGCAGCAGCAACAAGGTAAATGCAAAAGTGCAATTATATGGATTTACATTAGTATTGAAATTTATATTATTGCTTGAAAATTTTTATTGTTGAAAAATTCATAATTTTACCTTCCCGAAAAGGGTGTATATCAGTTTGTGATTCCGTTTGATTTCTACAAGTAGTATATAAGTATGTATGTGTATTTTAAATCATTATGTTTGCTATTTAAGTCAGCAAAATGGTTAACAAAGGAATGATTTTAGTATTCAAGTTTAACACTTTTTAGAAATTTCGGTCAATTTTCAGTTAATGAAATAACCCTATGGTATTTGGCATAGCCGAATACACATAGCCGTTACTTGTTTATTATAATCTTATCTTATACGTATCTATTTGTCTCTTTATTGACTTTTAGACTGTCAATAACTCTACAAGTTCCTATTCAACAACAAATAATAGCATTTCGAACAAAAAGAAATATGCCGCCAACAGCCTTCAAACTCCCGGAAGTCCCTCCAGATCACGTAGTGCCACTAAGGAATTGATACGTAAGATGAAATACAAAATGAATATTAATTGATATATATAATAATATTTCCAATTATTGTAAATTTCTAGTGCCTCCAGATGATTCTTTAATGTGCAAGCCAGAGTTTACCAAGCCCTTACAAGACTTGAGTATACGTGATGGTGATCAATTGGTATTGACCTGCCATGTTAAAGGAGATCCAGATCCACAAATCACATGGTCTAAAAATGGAAAATCCATTGCCTCGTCAGATATTATGGACTTGAAATATAAAAATGGCATTGCCACACTTACCATACATGAAGTATTCCCCGAAGATGAAGGGGTTTACACCTGCACAGCAACCAACTCTATTAGCGCCGTCGAAACAAAATGCAAATTAACTGTTAAACGTATGTTTTTTTTTTTAACTATAATCAATGAAACGATTTCTTAACTAATTATAATATTTTTTTATTTCAATTCATCTCAATAATAGCTTTGGATAAAAACTCCACCAAACGTTTAATTAGCAGTGATAAACCACCAAGAATTGTTAGTCATTTAGAATCCCGCTTCGTTAAAGACGGTGATATGGTGACATTGGCGTGCCGCATTATTGGCGCTGAAAACTTCGATGTGGTATGGTTGCATAATAACAAAGAAATCAAGCCCAGCAAAGATTTCCAATATACCAAAGAGGCGAATATTTATAAATTACAAATAGCAGAGATCTTCCCTGAAGATGCTGGTACTTATACCTGCGAAGCATTCAACGACGCTGGTGAATCATATAGCACATGTACCATCAATGTGATTGTACCAGGTGAAGAGCCAAAGCAACCCACTTTCGTCAAATTCCCCACATCAGTAACCGTTCAGGAAGGTGAAAACGCTAAATTCGAATGTGAAACCCAAGAAGAACCTTTACAATTGACCTGGCTTAAAGATGGCAAACAAGTCAACGAATCTAGTTCACGCTACACCTTTACCAAGGAAGATGGCAATCGCTACACCTTCACCATTAAGCAATGTTCCATAGATGATATAGGTCAATACCAAGCTAAATCGATTGGAAGAAAGGGTGAAACATTTGCCGCTTTCTCCATCAATGTATTTAGTACCGAATCATAAAACAAACGAATAACGAATACTTAATATTATTAATATTATTATTATTGTAATAATTGTAAATACACATAGTTTATTTTTTTACAAACAAGAGAACAAAATAACGGCGCTCGCTATAAATCTCTCACATATATAGTTGAACAACCTACATACAAACTTATATATGCATTTCTCTTGTTTACAAAATGTAGTTAAAAACAAATTCGCTCTCACACTCTCTCCCTCTAGAGTTCTCTTTTTGTACTTTACATACATATTTTGTTTAATTCATTAGAATAAATTTTTTTATATTATACTATATGATTAAATTGATAATACTGATGTACTTTTTCTGTTGGTTAATTTTGTAGTTAAGTTTTGTTATAAAAACACTTAATTAGTAATTTCTTCAACGGTTTCGTTCGATTGGTGTTTATTTTGATATTGACATTTTATCAAGTGGCATCCTCAACTCTCAATAAAGATACTCTCTCTATAATATATACTATATCTCTCTCTGTGAAAAAAGAACATCAATAATGTCAAATCCAATTAACAAAATCGAATTAAACCAATTAAACCTGTTAAACTAATTAGAGCTATTTAAAGTGTTTTCCAATATTTTTTTTAATTTACGAAGTTGGTGATAATGTATTAAAAACGATTATTTACATCAATTTATTTTGACTTACGTATTGCGCATTAAAAATAAATAATTTGTAATAAATACTGAATATAAAGACAAATGTGTTTTTTCTTTTCATGTTTTATTTAATTTAAAAAACTGCGAATATTTATACACATGTACATTAGGGCAAAGGTACACTGAAAAAAATCCATGCCTAATATATACGAAAAATGTCGTACATTGTACGAATCTTTCGTTGTTTCGCACCACGAAATTCTTTTGTAATATATACGAAATTGTACGAAATATTTAGTATAAAAAATGAATTTAGATAAATTGAAAAAGTGAATTTTGAATAAATATGGTAAAATTTACAAAATATTAATTTATGCAAACATTTTTGTTCATTATACCCTCTACAACATCAGTGGTGATAGAGGGTATATATAAGTTTGTCATTCCGTGTGTAACACCTAGAAATATTCATCTGAGACCCAACAAAGTATATATATTCTTGATCCATATGAAATTCTGAGTCGATTTAGCTATGTCTGTCTGCCTAAAACACGCTCACGTTAAACTAAGCAAAAGAAATAAACCAAATTCACCAAACACTACTCATTGTTGTCCTAAGCAGTTTGGTATTAAAAATCAGCAAAATCGGTTCCCAACGTTAAAAGTTATGAGTAAAAATTTCAGACTACTTCGAAAAAAATTACGTTTTTTTCAAAATTCTTAAGTCGTTTTCTCAGAAACTACAAAAGATAATTCGATGAATTTTAATTTTATAAGGCCCTCTTCCAAAAATCATTCAAACGCGCATATTTCACTGATCAACAAAGCTATCAAGATAAAATTTAACATGAATATATTTTGTATATGTATAAATCAATCTATGAAATTTTTTCCGAATCGATCCATAATTGGTCATAGCTCCAATATAAGGCCCACTTCTGAAAATCATTAAAAAGCTCATATTTCATTGTCAAATAAAGCTATCTTTATAAAATTCGACACAAATATGAAAATTACTTATAAACACATATTTCATTGTCAAATAAAGCTATCGTGATAAAGTTCGACATAAATATATTTTGTCTAAATATGAATTACTCTCCTAATTTTTTTCGAATAGGCCCATAATTAGTCATATCTCCCATATAAGGTCCACTTCCGAAAATCACTTATACGCATATATTTTAATGAATTCTAAAGCTATTGGGATAAAATTCGACAAGAATAGGTTTTGTGTATATTCAAATCATTCTACCAATTTTTTTACGGATCGGTCCATTATTGGTCATAGCTCCCATATAAGACCCACTTCCGAAAATCACTTAAAAGCTCATATTTCATTGTCAAATAAAGCAATCTTGATAAAATTGGACACAAATATGTTTTGTCTTTATATGAGTCACTCTACGAAATTTTTTCCGCATAGGCTTATAATTGGTCATAGCTCCCATATAAAGTCCACTTCCGAAAATCACTTAAACCCATATATTTCATTAAATTCTTAAACTATAAGGATAAAATTCCACTTGAATATATTTTGTGTACACATAAATCATTCTACCACTTTTTTCCCTGATCGGTCCATTATTGACCATAGCTCCCATATAAGTCCCTCTTCCGAAAATCACTTAAGCGCACATATTTAATTGTCAAATAAAGTTATATTGATAAAATTCGACACAAATATGTTTTGTCTTTATATGAATCACTCAACTAAATTTTTTCCGGATCGGCTCCCATAGAGGGTTCACTTACGAAAATCAGTTAAACGCAAATATTTCTTTGAATAATAAAGCTATCGAGATAAAGTACTTGAATATGTTTTGTAAGCATATAAATCATTCTACCAAATTTTTTTCCGGATTGGTCCACTCCAAAAAAATCACTTAAATGCACATATTTCATTATCAAATAAAGATATCTTGATAAAATTCGACACAAATATATCTTGTGTAAGGTCATAGCTCCTATACATATAAAGTCCACTTCCAAATATCACCTAAACGCACATATTTCGTTAATTTATAAATCCATTGTAGTAAAATTCGACTTGATTTTTTGGCATATTATACGAAATTTTTTCCTTATCGGTCGATAATTGGTCACAACTCCCATATAAGGACCATTTCCGAAAATTACTCAAATGCACATTGACAATCAAAGTTATCAGGATAAAATTCGGTTGTCTTAGCTCCAATTTATTTGTTTTATTTATTTATGTATTTATTTATTTACATTATATTAAACTTATATTAATATAAGACTAATATTACTAAAAAAGGAGATTAGCAAGAGCTACGAAGGCTATCAGCTATTATATAAGGTAAAAATTAGATTTTTTTATTTTTTTTTTAATGTAGTTAAAAATGGCGTTGATGTTATCGTTTGATGTTTCCTTAAGAAGATTGAGACCATTGTTTGATAGATATTTGGATTGAAGATTACTTAGATAGGGACAAGTAGAGAGAAGGTGTTTGAATGATATTGTGGAGCCACAGTATGGACATTCATTATTAAAGTTGGTATTCAGTAGATGTTCATGTGTAGTGATCGTGTGTCCCATACGTTAGCGTGAAAAACTTTAATTGTACTTTAAGGGTAAAAAACTTTAAGGGTAAAAAACTTTAAGGGTACACCTTAAAGTATACCAATCGGCTTAGAATCGTTTTCTGAGTTGATTAAGCTATGTCGGTCCGTCTGGCTGGCTGTCTATGTAAACCTTGTGCGCAAGGTACAGGTCGCAATTTTCAATATAATTGGATGAAATTTGGCATGAAATTTTTTGGCCCAAGGACGAAGCCTATTGAAAATGGTTAAAATCGGTCCATTATTTCACCTAGCCCCCATACAACAGAACCCCCCAAAAGGGCTTCTGAGCTCATAATAGTGTTAAATATACCTGTATATTGATAGAAAGCGGCACTACAAAGTTTTATACAAGCCTTGATGACCTTGCCAAATTTCATAGAGATCGGGCCCCATTTGACCCTAGCTCCCATACAAAGTCCCCTTCAGAGAATTACTTGAATGTCCAAAATAAACTTATAAACACAAATATCGCGATGAAATTCAGCACAATAAAATATTATGTAAATATAAATATATTCACAAAATTTTATCGGGCTTGGTCCATATTTGGCTCTAGCTCCCATATAAAGCCTCTTTCAGAAAATAAGTTTTTTATCCTTAATTGCTTAAATGTATCGGCACAATTACTTGAATGTCCAAAATTAGCTTATAAACACAAATATCGCGATGAAATTCAACACAATAAAATATTATGTACATATAAATATATTCACAAAATTTTTATCAGGATTGGTCCATATTTGTCCCTAGCTCCCATATAAAGCCACTTTCAGAAAATTAGTTTTTCGTCCATAAGTTGCTTAAATGTATCGGAACAAGGTAATAAAAGATAAATGCTTTATTATGAAAAATAAATCACATTTAATATTCATAACTGGTGTAGGGTATCATATTAATGTTCGTTGGATATTTAGGTGTTTTTATATCGGGATTATTTTGAGAATAGTGTGGGTGGTAATAACTTTTCAATTCTGTAATTCTTTGATGTTTCAACTTGTTAATAATATAATTACATATATCAAGTCTTTCGGTTAATGGATCTTTTAATAAGGGAGCTGAACATGCTACTTTTGCTGCTGCATCTGCATAAGTGTTTCCTTGTATTCCGGAATGACCAGGTATCCAAACTAATTTAATTTTACCTCTGTGTTTTATTAATATGTCACGAATATTGCTGATATAACGGATAAGCTATCGGTGTAAATAACAGTGTTTTTATTGGTTTTAGTCGCAATTATTATAGCTTGTAAAATTCCTGCTGCTTCGGCTGTAAAAATTGAAGAGAATTCAGCTAATATTTTTGATAAAGCAGATTGTATTCTTTGGTTTTTATTAGAAGACAAAACTTTTGCAACGTCAGAATCTATAATTGAATTGTGAAATGAAATGAGTTTGGGTAAAAGTCGGTTCATACACTCAGAGATCTTTTGTTCAAGTGAGGAAAGACCTGATAAAGAGTTTTAATTTGATTTATATTAGTTTTTGCTGCACTGCCGTACAAAAACAGGCCATAATTGATTTTACTCAAAATAAGAGCAGTAACTAGGTATTTAATAGTATCTATGTGTACATACACTGAAAAAAATCCATGCCTAATATATACAAAAAATGTCGTACATTGTACGAATCGTTCATTGTTTCGCACCACGAAATTCTTTCGTAATATATACGAAATTGTACGAAATATTTTAGTATAATGCAAAATAATCTTGAAAAAATTAATTTACATAAATTGAAAAAAGAGAATTTTGAATAAATATGGCAAAATTTACGAAATATTAATTTATGCAAACATTTTTGTTCATTTTTAAATAATTTATCTAATTTCAGTTCAAAATTCGTGAATAATATACATTTTCTTAAATTTTATAAAAATGTTGTAGTTTTATTTAATGATAATATTATTAGTATCATTGTGTTTAATTTCGCTAAAATTTAAGAAAAAAATATTACGAAAGGTTTTCGTACTTTCGTAAAAATAGTAAAGGGTTTTGTTAAATAATATTTCGTATTATACACGAAATTTTTGTAAATATTACGAAAATAGAAGTTACGAAATTTTTTTTCGTAAAGTTGAGCATGGATTATTTTCAGTGTAGCATCTAGTAGATAAATATCTAATGAAGCTTGCTGTAGTGACGAGAGATTTTTTGAGCACTAAGATGTGTTTTTCCAGCTATAGTTTTTCTCAAATATTACTCCTAGTATACTGTTGTTGATATTAAGATATATTGGAGTACAATTGTGTTTTCTGCATATATGTAAAATAGATGATCTTCCAAGGATATTTTTGCCCCAGACACTTTGGACCAGTCTCAATATCTTGAATTACTTTTTCAAATGTAATATTTGTTTTAGAAGTGTCGTTATTTTTAGAAAGTATGTAAAAGTCATCTGCGTATAGGCAATGATCAACATATTTATATTTATACCCTACACCACTTTAGTGGGGAGGGTATATTGGGTTTGTGCTGATAACGCACCTTAAAGTATACCAATCGGCTTAGAATCATT